GACGAGGATGGGGAGGATGTTGTTGAAGGCCGCGGGTTGCGAAGCAGCAGCCACTCGACGTGAGCTACTGGCTCGGCCATGGGGAGGACCGTTTTTGTTACTAGGAAATCCTCTGCAGCCGCAATTGGTGCTCTTTCACCTTGGCCTGCAATGTCTGACAAGAGAGGCAGACCTTCGGTCAAAGCTTGCATCTGCGCCGCAGTGAGCGGCAATCCCTTGCCAGCTGTCGCGGCTCCTGCATCACAGCGAGCAAAAGAGCTACACAGGACCGACAAACCAAACGCGATGAAAACTCGGCAACGGAAGCCCTCAAGATCAAACATTTCACGACCTTCACGACACATCTGACACGTGACAATGGGACTGGACTCTGTTTCCTCGACGCACCACACCTGCAAGCTGACCAGCGCCTATGCTGCGACTGCTGTCGGAGGGCTCCTTGCAGTTCCTTGAGGAAGGTCATTCGCTCGTCACCCATTTTTAACAGCATCTTTAGCTCCTCCATTTCCTGATGCAGAACGAACCCACAAGGGCCAAAGGGCATTTCATGACGGATTTGTCCGAGCCTGCGTAATGAGGTCGGATTGAGGAGATGGCATCGGGGCTGAAGTCGTGGTTGCCTGCACGGCTTAACTGGCAAAGAGCCATCCGCAGCTTCTGCGCCAAGGTAAATTAAGAGGCACTCGTGGAACCAAACTGTACCAAATCGACTCACAGGCAGCATGTGCCGGAGCACAGCACGTTGCAAAGGTGAACGATTCCGGCGACTGTAGGACGTACGACGAGCCTTCGGTGTCGGAGCTCTTGGCGGTGGAGCCTCTGGCTCTCGGCAAGCTGCGCCTCCCAGGTCAGCATGTTGTCATGTCATGCAGCTTCAACATCTTGTGGGTTGATTCCGTGCTCTTCCACGCAAGGAAACATCGCGAGCGCGACTGCAGGAGCACCTGCGGGGCCTGCCGGGCAGCTGTCCTCCAAACCGAATCGAGTGGCTGCTAGTTGGACAAAAGACACCAAAACGCGGCAAAAGCCAACGCAAGTCAGTTTATGCCACATTCTTCAATAGTCACTAGTTAATAGTCATCCTCGCTCAGTCATGCAGATCGACAGAACGAGCACAAACTCTCCTCGGCACAGGCCATGGATGCCCAAAGCACCCAGAGGAGGAAGCATCTTGTCCGCTCCCTCCTTAGCGCAGGTCCACGTTTCTCAGGGGACATTCCCTGCATCAGAACCGCGGATTCAAAGAGAATGCCACATCCCAGGCCTCATGGCAGGCGGTGCCACCAGCCACGCTAATGATCCTGATTTGTCCGTAGGTCCGCTTTGAGCCGTGAACAGCCGCGACGGGCAAAGACGACATTTGCCTGCATGCTTGCGCCAACTGCCAACCGGGATGCGGATAAGCACCTCGTGCCCGTGAGCAGGTTCGAGAAGTGATCACTACCAGTCCAAACTGTCGCTGTGTGTTTAAATCCTGCGGCAGCCCTTGCAAACCCCACAAATGCAATGCAGAATGCCTGGTCATAGATGGAGAACTTGAGCTTATCGCCTTGACCCAGCTGCATTTTTGCAGCTTGGTTCCAGACCTGTAGGGGCAGAAGGCATTGGTCGGAATATTGCCGCAATCTTTTGCCACCCTCGCACGGCATGCACAGCATCTGCTAACAGCTAGCATCACAGTTTCATTCTATTGCTGAGGTGGATAACAAGAGTTCAGGGAGTTTTTGTTCTTGGCTCTGCTGAGTTCTTGGTTCCAGGGGCCCCCGGGTTCCAAATGTTTTGAGAGCTTGTCTGCAACAAATGTTTGTAGCTCATGGCCTCAGAATACTAGACTTGAATCGTGATGCTTGCATCTTTCAATGGCTACAGCACCTGAATTTTCTTTTCGTGAGACTCCGACGGAAACCGGCGGAAATGCACATTGTGAACCAAAAACGACAAAGAAATCCAACAAAGAACTGACATACATGCTCTATAGAAAAGCACACTCGCGCTTGGTGAGTCCAACCTTCTCCTTTCTGAAAATTGCGCAAAACAGCAGAAAACTCCACTATGTATCTACTTCGGACTCATTCCAAGGCCGATGCAAAGCGGATCCGGCTCCAGGAATACTCGGCGAGGATGGGCACTCCACAGATACTCCGAGGGATTCCAAGACCATGCTTTTTGACCACTTGCCTTTTAATCCTTCGCAGCCCTTGCTCTCAGAGAAGCACAGAGGCCGTGAAAGACTTACGGTGACAGATACGGAAGCTCAAGCCCTGCAGCAGAAGCTTCAGCCGGTCTGAGGCTCAAGAGAAGAATCCCTTGAGCTTGAGGTCCTGGAATTCGGGAAACCGTTCTCAAAGCAAGGTTTCCTTACTTAAATCCTTGCCCGCCGGGGCTAGACAACAAATCCGGAAAGGGTACCCCTTACAAGCCTCCAAAATGACAACAATAAAGGGGTGGCAATAATATTTTCCGAGACGGGGGAGGCCGGGAAACCAAGGAAGCCTCAAGTTTGAGAAGGCTGCCTCTAAGGCTTAAAGATAAGAATCCTTTAAGCTTGAGACTTCAGCCTTCGGGTCCTGGTCTCAGGCTGAAGAGAACCCTTGAAAACAAGCCAAAGCAGACCGTCCTTGACAGCTGACCCCCCCACCCCAGACCCCCAGACCCCAGCCCCAGACTCCCAGACCCTGGAATTTGTTTATTTTCACCCCCTTTTGTTTCCATCCTCAAGTTCCCGGACACCAAAACAAAATCTGGGGGGGGGTCATTTATGCGACCCTCACATTACCGCTTGTTGTTCTTCTGCCGGGGTCATGTTCGTGCTGTGTGCATTCGCTTCTCCGCTGCCTTGATCAGCCATCTGGTCTGTTTCCGGGATTGCAGGGTGGGTGTGGTATTGGCCCTGCGGCCCTTAGCGACATGGGCAAGAGGATTTTGCCCGATAACGATCTCTCTCATGGCTCAGGGTGCCCCAACATCTCGAGCTGTTGCTTCACGCAGGGTGGGCAACAGCGTAATCCTGCCACTCTGCCTTGAGCTTGAGCCAAGAACGGTTTGTCATTTCTTATGTTTCTTTCTTTCGTGGGGCAAGGGGGCGAAGTGTCGGGCGGTTTTCGGGGCCACTCAACTGGCTCTCTCGCCCTGGGAAGTAAGTATAGCACATGTATGAGATTGCACTATTTTTACAACCAACTGTGGCACTTCTGGCGCATCAGTGGAAGCGACGTATCAGTGTCAGTTGGAACGAGATCTTGTGCGCAAGGGGCACTCCACAAAAGCCAATCAAACCGAGGTCTGCACTGGATTCTCCTTGTTCTTCACCGTCTTGGTCTTGAATTTGGATTTGACCTCCACAAGCCACATGCCGACGACTAGCAGAGAATCAAGAAGCCGCCAGGACCTTGCCGACAGACTCACAGAGGCAGTACGGGTCGGAGGTGCCCTCCAACCAGTCTGCATCGCGCAGACCTCGGGCGGAGACACATTTCACCTGGCCAGGGGTTCTTGGAGTCAAACTGAATCAGCCTTTAGATCCCCGCCGGCCTCGAACTCATAGCGTAACTCCTCTGGTTTTGGTGGCTTGGCCTCCTCCTCCCTGGGGCACGGCATGCGAATCCCCCCGTGCACGGCGGAGTCTCACACGATAGTATATTGAAATATCATATCGCAAAGCTGCTTAGGTGTTGCAGAAAGCAGCTGCTGACAAGAGACTTGGGGCCCGTCTCCTCCTTTGGGGGTGGGGCCTGCGCACTTCAAAAACAGGGAAGGAAGAGAAGGAAGCAGCAACAAGAAGAGAAGCGCTTGCTGGAACCGTCTGCGCAAGCTACAGGAAAGCAAGGTGGATGTGCGGGGATGTTGGGAATTGTTGAGGCGTGGATCGCCCAGGCCTTCAACTGCTCGGATGCTTCCGGCTTCGCGTCTGCAGCCTTTACATCCTGCATTTCTGACTTACACAGCACATCACCTACAGGGTGTTCTCGTGTGCGTTCCTCCTCTAGGTCCGGCTTGGTGGGCGTCTTCGGCGCCGCTGCCTTTTTCCTAGGGTCTTCTTGCTGGCCATGCACCATATCTCATTAGGGTATAAACACAAAATCAACGCCAAGATGGGAATAAACTTGCTTTGTTTCTTGCGGGCTGGTCCCACTTCTTACAGCCGAAGTGCCTAGTAAAAAGGAAGTCATAGGCGAGCAAAGAGACGAACACGTGTGCGCGCGAAAAGTTCATGGCACCCGCGAGACAAAGGGAGGCGGAGTCTACACTGAAGGAAAAACAGAAAAACAGGAACACCACTTAGTTCAGCTAGGGGGAAAGGTGCATAGTTGCCAGCGAAGTGTCGAGGATACCTTCTTCTTTGCTTTTGCGTCGGCCTCCTGTTGGTCTCTTGCAGAGCGTCAGTCACTTGAGTAGCTCATGAAGGTTTTCATGCGGCAAGCCATCGTGTTGCGCTGATAGCCCACTCCTTTGCTTTCTTTGCCTCATCCTGCACAGCTCCACATAGTGGATGGAAGTGGCTCTGGACAGATGTGTCGGGCAGCCTCTGAAGTTTTTCGCTGAGCATCTTCCTTTGCCTTCCGTTCGTCTTCCGCAGCTTTTGCGGCTAGCTGCTGCAGTCCTGCAGCAGCAAACTTGGCAGAAGGATGTGCACCAGAATGTGCTGAACTCTCCGAGAGTCTGGGAGCCCTGCGCTGGGCCGCTTCCGCCTCTTTCTGCTTCCTCCGAAGAAAAAATCTCAATGTCTGTCGGTCGAGATCTGCCAGAAAACAATCCAAGCGGCTGCAGCGTCACTTGAGCTTCCGCCTGCACATTATCAAACACGCTCTGTCGTTCGACACAAAAGCAGGCATTGATGCCCCACACAAGCCAATTTAATGTCAGGAAGTGTGCTGTCGCGTGATGCAATACTATCGACAGAACTACAGTGAAATTGAATTTGCATCTGGTGACCCTTCTTTTCCATTATTGTGTTCAACCTTGTTTCTGCTACTGTCAGGTAATTTCCTGTCACTCCATAGGATGTACGTGGCAAATTTATTCCGCAACCGTACGAGACAAAGAAACAAAGAAGTTCTGGAGAACTAACCTGCTCTGAGCAAACGAACGTCTGGACGTAAGCTTACTAGTGACATTGCAGGACGTTTCTGAGAAGACGCATCAGGCATGGCTTCCAAGAAAACCCAAAAGCAGCCAGGGCGTCTGGTCCAAACGACTAAATTAAATCAAAAGGCTAGATGGGGCGGTGTCATTTGCGCAACAACTGATGGCACAATTGCAAACACACTCGCAAATACGAGGCTGTGTGCATACGTGATTAGTAGGTTGTGAATTTCAAAATAAGCCAGATGCAGAAAAATTAGTACTTGTGCTGGGTCATGTGATGTGCTACGGTTGAAAAAGCCACTGTATTTGGCCACAGTATTACCTGCATATGAGCCTGCACACACACATGTATAGATGTGTGTATATATATATATACGCATGCCTCTACACATACATGTATACATGCACACATATACATATACACATATACACGTGTACACATATACACATCTACACATCTACACATCTACACATATACACATATACACATATACACATATACACATGTACACATGTCCACATATACACATTTCCACATATACACATATACACATATACACATATACACATATACACATATACACATATACACATACACAGACTCATGCACATACACATACACATACACATACACATGCACATGCACATGCACTTGCACTTGACTTGCAATTGTACGGACACATACATACATACAATCATACATCCATACATACGTACATGCATACATACATACATACATACAGACATACATACGGACATGTATGCTTAAAGCCACCCGGCTCTTCATAACACCGTGCTACGCTAACTTTGTACTCTGCGGCATTGGCCTTCTTACAGTACAGCCTTTTCGGGGTTAGCATGGCACGTGCCATCCTTGTGTCTCTCTGACGATCCTGTCACCACGAAACAATTCTGTTTCTGATTTCCTGGCCTCTGTGAGCCACAGCGGCTTCCCAACAGGTGGAATCGGTTGATCGCTCAGGCACTTCCTTGGGACAGGCAGCATGCCTCATGACTCTGTGGTTTTCCCACTTTATGTGCGTCACTTCTGTACTATAGTTAGTGGAAGATGTCAGAAGCAGATCGGCCAAATACCTCAGCGTGTGGAAGAAGACGACTCTAACTTTCATGATCTGTGACTGGCACAGTTGGCTGATGGATGAAGTGCGCTCAGACCGGAGGAGAATCGGCGAGAAAAATAATTCGATTGGCCGACCTTCGTGGTTGAGGCCTGATTTCACCCCCCTTTTGCGAAGCGGAGCGTCGTCTCTGCAACTGCCTCCGCAGTGCCCCCGACATCCTGCACACGACAAATTTGAGCAGAGACTCTGCGAGTAGATTGAGGCAGGTTCGGCCAGGACTCACTTGCTACCCCTGGCTCTGTCACCCGCCTGAACTGCACAGCACTTTTGTTGCACAGCGCCCATGTCCCTGAGCATCTGAAGCCAAGTCTTGATGCCTCTTGATGCACACTCCGCAACTCATGGCTAAGAAGCAGGCGCACTGGACAAGCTCAGTATGCGTTTGTTGACAGTCTTGAGGAGAACGGCGGCAAAGGGTGCCACATCTCGGAAATCCCACGCGTCTTATCTCCACCCATCGAAACTCACCTCTCACCTCAAGATGGGTGCCGACACCTGGAGACACAGACTTCCACCACATGCCACAGACCAGCTGTTGCACACGCTCTTGCAGCCCGTCCCAGCTGTTTCGCGCGGTGACATATGTCAAAGAAGACTCCCTTTGATTTGCTCTCGGAGAGACTTCGTGAGACTGAGAAACGGTGAAAATATGAAGTGTCCTATGGCAACCGTGTCTGGCGCACAAGCCCGTTTCCAACTTTCGCTGGCGTCTGTGCAAGCTCAGCACTGCGTCAACAGCTTGTTCAACCAGGTTGCGCAACTTGCACATGCAAAAACTGCCATTTTCAAGCATTGCCAAAGACAGTGTGTTTATCAAAAGTGAACGATCGATGAGATTACGTATTTGCTTCCTTCCGGGTCATGTATGAATACAATCTAACGGTTGTTTATCTGGGTATGATGGACAAGCCGAGCAAACGAGAACTCCCTCGAAGATACGGAAATTTAGATCAGAAGGCTATGCAAACACAAGATTAGAACGTTGACCACATTCAGATTTATCTATCATTGAACTTTGAGCATTACGTTATCGCCAGCATTGGTCTTTTCTTGCAGGGAACAAAAACCCCGTCAAAAAGAGTACAATGAGGGGGCTTTTGCTGGAAGTGAGTGAGATGTTTCCTGGAACTATCTCAGTCAGCTCGCAAAATATCCGCAGCAAGAGCAGTGCTGAGCCCTGTGAGATGCAACTTTGGGACCCATTGCCCACGTGTTTTTCGCACCGTTCTCCTCCAAAGTATCCAGACATAAACATGACTTCATGACCGCAACGTCTAGAAGGTCTGGACGATGGAGTGCGAACGGGGCGTGTGAATTATCAGCAGGTACTGGTTACCACGCCCTGGCTCGGCGCTACGCCATGGACATGCCATGCAGATGAACCCTGCCCGCACGGCACTCAAAAAACAAGAAAAGAATCAGCCCGTGATCTCTGCGAGTCTATGTGAACATGTTTCTTAGAGCAGTTCACAAGGTGCAGTGACGGCAGCTGTGGCCGTTTCGAGAGCTCGCAGGAACACCCTTGTGAGCCCTGGCAGCCCTGGCACCCGATTTGCGACTAGAGCGCGTAATGGATACGTGAAAACAGGGATCATGGCTCAAGCAGAAAAGAGCGTGACGGTGCACCGGAATCCAGCATAAGTGCACAGATCTAGGACATTGGTTGGCCATGCTCCAGCTGTGGAATGCATGTGTCAAGCTGCAGCGGCGTCGGACCCTCCCTCGGCAGCACAACGCTGCGCGAGCATAAGCAACGACATACAACCACATTGCCCGTCATGCTATTGTACTACTGTTATATGAGTGTTATATGTCATGTTTCTCGCTGTCCAAGCTAGCAAAGCCCTGCCTTCAAGTGTTTACAAAAGCGCTGGGAAAAAGCCAAAGGCCGACTCAGTTAGAAGCAGCTCGCGCCATGGAAAAAGTTCCTAAGGCCGGCTCTCAGCACATTTCTCAGGCCTCTTGTCCCGCAGGAAACGACCCCTGTACACGCACGCGAACCTGCCCAGAATGGTGCGCGGGAGGTGTAGGACCATGTAGGACCATATAGGACAGCTACAGAAGCAGATGCCGCACACAGCTTCCCGAAACATGCTGTGCGAGGCCTTGATCCCTCCTCCCGGGACCTGGGGCAGCAAATGGCAGCCAAGGCTTTAAGAAGTTGCAGAACATCGCCGAAATTGGACACTTGCACGAGACCCATCTTCCAGAAGATGCAGCGAAAGCTGAATGACCATCTGCCTTGTTGCCCGAACTGTCTTCCAGGGGTATCTCATCTTCGAAGCCTCACATCGGAAGCAATCGATCCCGCATAACTCTGGATATCTGTGGCTCGAATTTGCACGATCGGAGTGGGCCTGAGGGTACCATGCGATCGAAGTCGAGCGTAGCCCTCGCGAACACAGATGCCGGGTCGTCCAGATCCTGCCGCGGCCCAGGGTCTGGGGCGGTGAGGTCTGAAGAGCGGGTCTTAGGCAAAATACGAGAAGAAAAAAAATGCATGAAAAAAAACAACGTGACACTGCTTGCCCTTCAAGAATTCCAAGCATTCCAAGCAGAGTCTCCGCATCTTGAACTCGAAAGGTGAGGAAGTCTCCACGGCTGATCTGGAGCTTAGAGGCCTGGTTCCAGACCTGAACGTCATCTCTGGCCATCTCTCCGGTCACTCCATGAGTAAACGATTCCCCGCTGAAGGCCCCCTTGGGCAGTTTGGGGAACCCTGACGCCGCCAAGCGTCCGCTTTGTCCCTCGAGCTCGAGCTCTTAGTGCGGAATTTGACCGGATTGTTGCCTCACTTGTCGCATGTAGCCTATTCTGAAACAACCGCAACCGCGGGGTGTGCGAACTGAGGAAGATTGAGGGAATGCTGCCGAGATGCATCTAGCGAGGCCCACAACCTGATCTTAATGTGCAGTGGCCATCTTCACTCAACAATAGAACTTCCAACTGCCAACCGCCACTGATTCTGGAACAATTTGCAAGGCCAGTTGCAAATGGTCTGTCTCCGGTTTCTGGTATCTTCATGGCAGACACAATTTTTACCTTCAGGAGCGTGACATTGGGCGCAGTAGACCCTCTCAAGAATGCTGCGTTCTAGGCATTCGCTACAAGGATGAGCCTCCAGAAGGTACCGCACCTGAGACCTTGCAGCTCACGGGCGTGCTCCTTCAACCTATTCAACGACTGGAACGATCGCCCGCTGAGAGCCCCGCGGATCATTAGCTTTGCTTTGAACCTTGCAACTGGCATAGCTTGAAATGCCATCACCATGTATCCAGCTCGTCAATCCCTCCCTGCCTCTTCGACATCAGCTTTCACCTCTCCTGCCGGCGATTGTGTCCGGCTGGTGGCTGCCTCGGCATCACTTGGCTTCATTCCGAGGCAGTACTTTTGTTTGCACCTCGTGCATCCACGTGCTTCTGTCAGCTCTGGACATTAACGGGTGAAAATGGCGACGCAGGCGCAGCCTGAGCAGCCTGCCAGCGCTCTTATATGGTGACCCTTTCCGCTCTCCAATCGCATGACAGCATGGGTGACAAGCCCCTGTGACTGCACATGACACGGCCGCAAATCCCTCTTGAGCGGTGACAAAAGCGCGTCTCACACCTACACTTCGTAGACCGAACAAACGGTCAAACAAACGGTCATTTTTGATGCTTGAGTACGGATCTTTACGTTCCCAGCCGCCGTCGAGGAGAGACCATCACGCAAACTTCAGTGTCTTCGCTGGCTTCACGAAGTTCACTTTTGAACGAAAACAATCAACATGTGTAGAGCGAGTGTTGGCTGTATTGGCCCGTGCCTCATAGTGCCTCATAGTGCCTCATAGTGCCTCAGACTGTGCCCGGCCTTTGGCGCTTCGTGACTTTGTTGGGGCGCAGCCTCCCAGGCAAAGCAAGGCTAAGGCACAAAGCCGTCAAATGCCGTCAAGCCGTCAAGCAGGTTTTGCAGCCTTCGGCATATCGGTGTCCTTTTTGTCGCCCTCACAGGACTGCCAACAACTGCCAACCACGATTGGCAAAGCATCTGAGGGCCCAGGTCCTAGGTTTCTAGCACACGTTCCTACCCCCTGTGGCACAAGTGAACACCACTGCATGCCACATGCTTCCCTGCAGCGCCTCTTTCTTCGAAGAGGCCGGATTTTCCTGAAGTGCTGAGATGGAAAGATGATGGTTCAGGTGAGTTTAGGAGAATGAATGGCCAACGTGGGGGTAGAGATCAGCCGGCTCCGTGGGCCACAAAAGTCTTCATCTGCCTACGCTCGCAGAACGGATGCAACCGACATCTCCTGGGGCTTTTCGTTGCCTGGCTTCTTCGGCCTCAGTTGAGCAAAACGCTTGCTTCACATTTTGTGCTGGTCGCGTTGCTCTTCGTCTTATGCATCTTCGTCCTGTGTCTCTCTTCCACAGAATGTGAGGAAGGGAGGGCCTCCGAAATTTATAAGGTGTCTTCTTCTGCCAGGCCCAGGGAACGGCCTCTCCCCCTTTTCGGGGGTCCGCTGAACAGACAGGAAGAGCATCTGCCTGCTCACGTGCTCGGCCACCCACTCCCTGTTCTTTATCTCAAGGACGGTCATGGGACATGGTTCCGATCACGGTGCGCCCCCACCAGACAATCTGCTGAAGTAGGGTGAAGCGTGTCTTCTACCGGCGGAACATTCACTGCCAAGCCATTCGCCCACCCCACCCCCGCCCCTGTGGCTCAAGAAGCATGAGCAAACGCGTGTGCGAAGAACTGTGCCATCAGCTGCTCAGCACCGTAAACGCACCTGACCCCACTCCAACACAACTACCCCGAAAGCCACCTCAGATTTTCCCGAGATCCTCCCTGTCCCATCATCCGGCTTTGTTTGGTTTAACTCGCGCAAGCGAAGCCCTGTCTTTCCGGAATTCCCGGACTCAACACCCGCAGCCGGAGAGACAAGGATTGGCACTCTTAATATCTCTTAGCTCTCGCTCTCTTCATACAATTGTGTCCTCTTCTTCTGCTCAGCTAGGGGTTCCCACAGAACAGGGTTCCACAGCTTAGACGAGCCATTCTTCTGCCGCTACTTATGTTTCTGCTTCCGCTTCTTATCTTTCTCCTTCTCCTCAGCATGTTTGGGATATGACTTTTTTAACATCTGATAGACCGAGGAAGGTCGAGCAAATTGGGGAGCCTGTGTTCACTTCCGTGCAGCAAGCGAACTTATGCAAGTCCAACTCTGCAGTCTGGAGGCTGCGCAGCCTGCATTGGAAGAGTTCCTCCACCCCCACCCACGCCCTGGCACAGACTTACTTCCGTTTGCACACTTGGCACACTGTAGTCTGTCCAACTTGCTCGAGCTGTGCGTGTCAGGTCAGAAAGCGTCAAGCCTGCCGCTCTCTCTGGGCGTCATCAGCCACTTTCTCAGCAGATTCAATGCGAGCCTCGACCAAGACTTTAAGGTGCCGCACTACTTGTTGACACACATGTCTGCTGGACAACAGCAATCTCTCACACACACACATACATACACACACACACACACACACTGACTGACTGACTGACTGACTGACTGACTGACTGACTGACTGACTGACTGACTGACACACTGACACACTGACACACTGACACACTGACACACTGACACACACACACACACACACACACTGACTGACTGTGGTGGCATTCTACCTCCTTTCACCAAGCACCAGCCTGCCGGGCGGCCGCCTCCTGCTCCCGCCGTTGTTGGCGCTTCAGGGCTTCCTGGCTTCCCAGGACATTGGTAGCAAAAGTGCCCCATCTGCCCCATGTGGTTCAGTGTGGGCAAACTGTGAGGCCAAGATCTTGCTCCTGAACCCCAGAAGTCCCCAGGCAACATTCATACGAACTGTCGGCGCTCTCTTGATGGTCCCCACTTGCCCAAGATCATCAAACACTTGCAGGGACCTCCTTCAAAGCCTCCACGTCATGCTGCCACATCGTAAGCCTGGACACATCGTCCTCCTCCTGGCGAAAGATTCGACACGACAACTGTGATTACAACAACGGCCACGACTACGGCCACCACTACTGCTATGACGATGGCTAACAGTGTGGATTCTCAATTGTCAGGAAATTTGCAGTATGCTTGGGCTCGTGAATGGCAGAGCAGCCCGTATTTGCCCGAGAACTAGGAGTAGGAGCACAGACGTAGGGGAGGACTAGGGGAGGAGTAAGTGGAGGAGGAAGGAGAAGAGTAGGGGGAGGAGAAGGGGAGGAGTAGGGGATTAGTCGGGCAGTAGGGGAGGAGTAGGAGTAGGGGAGGAGTCGGGGAGGAGTAGGGGAGGAGTAGGGGAGGAGTGGGAAGAGTATAGTAGGAGGGGTGACGCACTCTTCATGGGGATATTGGGCGGGGGTCTGTGCGGAATTCTATGGAACGGTGCCGACCGCGGCCAGGGGTCCATGACCACAATGATGACGACTACTACGGCTGCTGCCACTGCTACTTACCAGCCCCAATACTGCTTGCTGCATGGTCCCTGCTACTGGTCTTGGGTCTGTTTGTGTTGCGGGTCCTTGGGCGTTCGCGGAGAGCCGTAGGCTTCTCCCGACTGACCGCAGGGCTTTCCATGGGAGACGCAGTTGGCCCCCATTCCTTAAACGCACGCGAAGCTCTTGGAGCAGGATCCTTCCATGACTGTGCCCGGCGCTTGCAATCGTGAAGGACTGCTTACAACAAGCACGGACCCCAAATGCTGGGGCAACGGCGGCACCGTCCCGCGGCGCAAATTTGCGACTCTGCTTGCTACAGAGTTCTCTATCTTACGTTTCGATGGTGCTGAGGTTGATGGCTGCATGCTGGCACACCAACGAGCTGCTTCTGTGAACCGCAGCTGCGGCCTGGAAGCACGCAGCTGCCTATGCGTGTGAGCTGCCTGTGAGATCTGTGAGCCGAGTCTGCCGGATTCTGGTGGAGGACAGCATGGCAGTTGCACATCCGAATGTCTGGAAAGTACCCGTCTATTCCTTTTCGGATAGACATATAGTCCTATAGTTTTAATTACTGACTCAAAGACCCCTTTTTCCTGTTCCAAAGCGTCTCAAAGTTGATGTTCACGCCTAGAAATTACTGCCTCAAAGACCCTGGAATCCATCCCAACTGTCAGTTTGGCCCATGAATCCTGTAAACAGGTCCCAACGAGGGGCGCAGAAAATTCGTGAACTGGTATAGCGGGGCGGTACAGTACAGGCAGGGATGGGGCCTATGGCAGCATGGGGCTGTACGTAACGGTCTACCGTCATAGGGCGGTACTTTCTGGACCTATCTTCGCACGTCCAGAAGATCGATTTCAAGCCTGTGCGTTCTCGAACTGTTTTCCCATTCTGATCTGGTTTTTCTCCGACAGCCTGCACCCCACTGCCACAGACGTGAAGATCTGTCCGATCTTTGTTTGGCGTCCCACACACTGGGTTTTCAGTGTGCAGGCTAGAGGCCCCCAACGGCATCGCCTGGGTTATGGCATGACACTGTGCCGCTTTGACCACGCCATGCGTGTCACGGGACACTCGTCCGGTCTGCCCAGGCGATGCCTTTGAACCCTGGAGTACCAATACATATCAATACCATGCCCTACCCATTCAGCCTAGTTCTTCACAAAAATACCTAACCACATGGTGTAAGCTGCGATCCCGACTGCAACTGCAAAAGCATTGAAGTATATGACACGGCCGCCCCTGTCACTACACCCTGCAGGGAGGCTCTGTGATCAAGATCTCTTGATTTCCTACTAGCAGGAGCTACCAGCGATGCACAACCGACTGCCATAGCCGTTCCTAGTCCAAGCATGTCCTAGCTAGCCAATGTCGACTTGCCTCAAAAAGTTGATTGCACAGGCTCTACAAATATTAGCGCCCTCGGCAGCTGTCATGTTAGGCGCCACAAGCCTCAGCATTGAAGCGAGAACGGGGATGGCAGAGCTTTGCTGCTTGAAGCCAAGTGGCCGATTTCAGGAAGGGTTTGATGGTCTTGCCACTGCCTGCACAAGTCGTGCGACATCTCACGTTGATGCAACAACGTCAATGAACAGAACTACCATCTCATGTCATTGCCAAATCGCATCATCACATGATGCACGCAACAAAATGGTAGAACAATATCGACCTATGTGCATCAACGTGACCAAACCAGCATAGAACGGCGAAAATGTTGTCGAGCCTGAGGGTGAGGGCACCTTTTTGGAAACGGCCGTCTTCTTGGACTGCACTTTCCCAGAAGCCGTCTGCTTCTTGGACGTCTTGCTCGCTCCTGAGTTCACGTCCACACAGAGTGCACAGCCGGAGAGCTGTTCAAAACACTTCGACAACGCCGCAATGTGGCTCAAGTTGCGTATCAGATTAGGCAGGGGAGCTTCACTTAGAGTTCGAGTTCTGCAACAACAGCGGAAGCTGGAAGGTGGTGGCCTAGTTCGGGATCACGTTCTACAGGCAAAAACAAACTTTGAGCCACTGGGCTTGGGGTGAGACTCTCGTGGTACGAACATAACAGTGATGGTGCCAGAACATGCGAGAACTGTGCAACTCAAGGAATCAGGAAACAACCGGCACCTGCACGGGAATGATCTTCACCTGGCTGCCACTCGCAACGGCACCCCAACGCAGCATGTCAACAAACAGACCTGAAGAAATAACGCTTCACGACGGCAAACATGTCTGGCGAACCCTCATCGGAGTCATCTTCGTCTTCACTCACGGCGGAGACTCCTTTCCACCTGGCCACGGTTCCACGGTTCAACCGTCTCTCACCCAAAGACTGTTTTCGAACCGCATGCCCACAAAAACATCATGGAGCACCTCAAAACCACTTCGTTCTTCCTCTTTGGATGCTTGAGAAAGGATCCTGGCCGCCGAACTTATGACATCAAGAAGCACAGCACAGATTGAGCGATATTACACGCAGCCAAGAATGCAGGACAAAAGTGTCCTGGCCACTTCTCTTTCAAGATCGCAATGTTTCGCTGCTCCTTCTGGTGATTGCTTCATCAGATGCCAACACGGAAACCCGACCGTCCTCCACACCTTTCGAGTCCCTCGTCGCAACGGCCCCACCACCTTACGAGAGTGCTTGAGCTTTGTTTTGTTTGGAAGGCGAGGACATGAATAGACGATTCATAGTGATTCTTCGCAGAAGAAGCCCGCGGGCATTCCGCAGAAGGTCTGGCAATTTCCGTGGCACTGTTCGATAACACGCGTCAACATCTTGCCCCATACCGTTCGCAACAAAGGACTGTGGTCTGACAGCATGTCTGGCAAGGCATGGCAGCCCATTCAGTGCTAAACTTCGTCCACCCCACCCGAAGTTGGATCGGTAACGACAACTTGCATTTGCAAAACGCTCCTAGCATGCTTTCAGAAGCCATCGCTCAAAAATCCTCAGAATTCCGATCGGTTACTCTCAAGGACGTTTCAGGGTTTGGGGCTTCCTCAGAGCTTCCACAAGAAAGAGTCTTTCGAGGACTTTTCTGCCTTCCACTCGCACAACTACATTGTTTTCGTGCTGCACTATCCGATAAAAACCAGTTGGCCTCGTAGTGCCACTGCACACTTCGTGCGGGACGTTGCTAGGCTTGAAGCTTTCTCCGGGGCCGATTTGCGCCGCCTAAAGATGGCAGTGCGACACTGAAATTCATTGACATTGGCCGGTGCTCAGCACGAGGCAAACGTTGAATGTTACAGTGCGACTGTTTGCCATTCCTGCTGAAACACCATGGACATCACCAACATCATCCTCGAAGCGCTCTCGAAGTAGTTTTCAATTCTGAACAAAAAATGATCCGAGCAAGGAGCTGAATCACGCGGCAGGCAGGCCCCGAAGTGCACCCAAGATACCCAAGGAGCGAGCATGGTCAACTAGCAGCTGCGAACTGTGGAAGGCGAGGCCGGGCAACCGCGCATCAAGCAGGAGGCCCGGTAGGGCAGCCACGGAGCAAGCACGCAGCTTGCAGCTAGCAGCGGCGCACCTAAAGCGCCAAGCGTAGCATGCAAGGAGCAAGCAGCGAGCAAGCTGCAACTAAGGGATTGCGCACTTACAAAGTGCGAGGCCCGGCAAGGCACGGCCGCCCGCCCGCCCAAGAAGATCAAGTCTATTTGTTCGTCTGCCGACCGTCTGCGTCGCTTTTTGTTTGGTTGCTTCACCATCCCTCTGAATCGCTCTCGAGCTAAGATGCAGACAGTTGCTGTAGTGCTTGACGCATAGAGTCATGCGATTGCAACGCAGGACAGAACCGTGAGCCTGCGGGCAGCGAGAGCCCCCCGTGACAACACGCCCTGACTCTTCGGTAATCTTTCAGGCTGGAAAACGTGTTCCACGACATGGCAAACTCAAAAACTCAACCCAAGGTGAGCAGAGAAGCGGCACCTTCAGGTGTGCGCACGTGAAGTCGTAATCTTCCTGCAGGATGCGGGCTGTTCAGAAAGCAATCCTCAAGATGCCGTGCTACTCCTGCTGGCCTTCAACTTCATGTTTTCATCGAAGCGCACAGAAGAGCCTGTGTCCACCACCAAGAAGTCACCTTGATTTTTCTGCCGAAACCCTTGCAACTCGGAGTGCAAACTCTTACCGGGAGAATACTAAGCCGAGCTTCCCAAAATGAAATGATGATGGACAACCTCGGGCCCTGCCGCAGCCGCAGCAGAATCACTCTCTGAAGATACAAATGCCCAGACATGCCCGTGCAACGTTGCGCACGACATGGTCGCCCTGGCCTGCAAAGGTGCGGGCGCAGCTTTGGAGCATGTACGCTCCTTGTTTCAAAACTCGATCAAGCGCGCATAGAAAAGTCACAGAAGCCCGCACTCCCGCATACTCCCGCATACTCCCGCATACTCCCGCCTCCAAGCTTCGGCTTGCCGTGTAAACCCACTGCCGCACGCATCTTTGCGATGATGAAGCGGGCGGCGGCAACAGGAGTCCTTCGATGTCGAGCGGTACCAACGCTGTGCAACAGGGTTCTTCTCGTGCAGGCAATTGCGGGCAATTCTGGACTTGCTAGTGCAGGCCTACAGACCTCCTCCAGTCAGCCTAATAAGCAGCTTCCCCTCATGCCCTTGCTCATGTACTCGACCAGGCTGCTAAGGTTGAGGCAGTTCAGGCCACGCTTCGGAGTTCAGATGAGTTCGGGGTTCTTCAGGATCTCTTGTCCGGCACTAGTTTCAGCGTGCGGCGAGGCAGGGGGCTGTACATCAACGCTCCTCCTGCCCAGCTGGGGCAAGCAATGCTGCAACTCCATCCCGTTCTTCGTTTAGGTGTTGTGGTGGATTTAATTGAGGTTATTTCCACTTTTGTTGTGGCTTGTGGGTTCGCATATGTTCACGTTCTCAGCAATGGCCCTCGAAAGCAGGCAATTCTGGCAAGCTTCACGATCAATCGGCGCGCTGCGGCATGAGCTTTGTTCTTCGCGTCATCCGTCTTATCGACGGCTTTCCTTAAGCAAGTGTTGAAATTTCGGAAATGCCAGTGTCGGCAACATGTTAGTTTAAAACCAACGACAACCTCCAGTTGGCGAAGAAGCGTCTCACCATGCCGGTACTCCCAAGCAGCGATGTCGTCTGAGACTTGAACACAAACTTTATTGCCTCGGTGTCGGCGAAAACATGCGAAAACTGCTCTAGGCTGCTGGTCCGGGAGTCAGGGCGCAAAGTCTTTTGCGATCTGTGCTCAAAGCCCAAGGCTGGCCGCTGCATCGTCGAGCGCTTTATTGCGGGATGGCGTTAGTTTGCCACCCACCACCGCTTTGAGGCCAAGGGCCTTGTAGTCCTCTTAAGCAGAAGTTGAAAACTTGGAAATATTGTGATCTCCTCTGTGCTCCAAGTGCTCATGCCCTCGCTTCCCACACTTCGTCCTCCAAGCTCTCGGCATCGACGTACCAAGTCGGCGTGACGCCAGCCTCCTGTAAATACTGGCAGCATTGTACAAGGTGCTCTCTCTCCACCATCTAAAGCCTAAAGACTAAAGCATTCGAATGCACTGAAAGAACCGGCGAGCAGAAGCTCCTGGAGCTGTGTCTGCACCGTAACAATATCCCGCACACCCTCGAGTTTGGTGGCACGCCGTGCCGAAATGACGCAGAAGTGGAACTCTTCTTTGGGCGGCAGGCACCTGACACACGCAGATCGTCTACAGCTTCTGGTGGATGGGGTGATTAGCTTCGCACTTCTTCTCGGCACGGGAGAGCAAGCTGAAGAAGTCTGTGTCTTTGTCCTCATGCACAGACACTGACAAATTTGGAATGGCAATTATGGAAAGTGTGCATCGGTTCTGCGGCCGACATTGAGGCAAGTCGCTGTGCCGATAAAGGACTTGGTACCGCCTTTGCTCACCTCGTGCGGTAGATGTATGCCTATAATGGTCATCATCATGGCCATCATTGCGAGTCGGTTTTCTTACCTCACCTCACGGATCTGCTGCCGTGCCAGCTGCACCGCCTGCTGCGCCTTGCACCCGATTCCAAGTCGACCCAACGCCGATCTGCCCTTGTAATGCTGTGACCCGCCTGCAATCGCGCTAGCCGGACCTGGCCATTGAATCCGTCCTTGTGGGTCAGCTGCCTGCCAACCTCAACAGCAAGCATCACATCAACTATCTGCAGCCATCTTGTACCTCGAACGGCAATCCGTGAACTTGCATGTGCCGATACTGTACATCTTGGCATGCTTGGTGGCTCGCGTGCTGTTCGACCTTCTCCTTGTGAAAATAGATCTTCATCTCTGGACTCACGAAGCTGGTCAAAGTGCCTGGGGCAGATTAAGAACTTGGCCAAGGTCATGTGGTCTCACTTGCACGTTGCGGGCAGAACTGCGTTGCGAAGCTCATTCCCATGCCAAGTTACCGCCTCCACCGTTGGGCTTGCTGCGAGAGTTCGCCTTGGTGGCCTTCACTCCTTGACTTTCACTCCTTGACCACCTTGACATGCCTTGACATGCCTTGACCCTCACCCTTTCTAGCAACAGAAGGGCACCACATGCAGCTCCTTGACCCCAATCATCAGGGAGCCACGGGACGCGGTTGAAGTCAACCTCGACCTTGACCTCAGTGGTGGTCACAACCACATACACTGACCGACGCAAGGAGCGAAGAGTAAGCTCAGTGCTCCCGTGGCGGTGACCCAGTTCTTGGGGTTGGCAGAACCCTTCTTCCGGGTAACAGGATACCTTGAGCTAAGGTGATGTCCAAGTACAAGGCATGAGAACCGCGGAATTTCTCAAACAACACGCAGCGCTGAAAGCAAGCGAGGCACCCCGCCCGCTCTGTGATTGGCACAGCGTGCGCTGCGTCATCAACCAGTTGAGGCTGCTCATCGATTCGGACATCATCTCTCCCCGAGTCCTTCTTCAATCGCGCCCGCAACGCATTCCTCATAGAGCCTGCAAAGTGGCGATGTCGTGACACCACTTCAGGCTCGCAGCCGTTGCATCATCAGCAAAAACCAATCGCAAATCGTAGCTGAGCCCCTCTAAGAGCCCCCCTCGCTAAAGGCCCCCCGTCTGAGCCCCCCGTCTCTTGCTGAGCTTCTTCACGGCCAAAGTTCCTCGGAGAGCTGAAGGCTGAAAGGCAACGGCATTGTGTAGCCATTGTTGTAGACACTTTGCGAATGAGGCAACAGGAAAGTGAACAAAAAGATGAAACAAAGGGACGAGCGGCGCCCACTCGCCTTCACCGGCTTCGAGGGCTTCGAGGGCTTCGAAGGCTTCGAAGGCTTCGAGGGCGTCGGGCCTCGGCCTCCGGCTCGGACATTCTGCTTCCCTTTGGCCATGGCAAGAACTCGAGCTCTGCGCTGATGAGCGAAGTGCTGCACAAGATGTTGCCGGCTCTATTGCGTAAGCTGTCAGACTGGCTTGCACGAAACTTGCTATGATACACAAAACCTGGGGGCAAACGCATGGCTGCTGATGCACCTCTTTCGTTTATTATCTTCTTACAGCAGGCACCTGTGAACCTTCCAGCAGTGCCTCATGTTCTGCACACACTTCTCCAAGTACCATACCGTTCGCCCCTTTTCGAAGTGCGTCAACGACTAGCATTCAGCATCCGCGGCGGGGACATGCAGCCGGCCGTGCCTTACTACAAGCATGTACAAGCGGCACAGCAACATCCTCATCTCATCGTCTGAAAGTGCAAGACTGACAAGATCAAATGCAGAAAGCTGAGCCATTGGCGGACTTCACCGACTCTGACTGTCACCTCAGAGCCCAAAACCTTCTGGTAACATCCACTCTCTTTAGCGCAAGTCAAAGGCTTCCAAGGCACATGGTGTGGTGCCGCAACCTGCACTCCAGCTGATGGATACAGCATCTTGCAGCAGCTTTCGAACAGCGCCTGTGGGGCAGGCGCAACACCAGCGACGCCGATGCGAGGACCGTGGGTGGAAGTCACGACCTGCGAAAATACGTGGAGAACGTGAGGGCGGCTTTATACTACAAGGCCGCGGAGCGGAGCAGCAACAGCGTGATGCAAGGCCCGACGACAAGCGCAAGCATGGGTCTGAAGGTAGCAAGTGACTGCAAAACAAAGTTTTAGCCCCGCCTTTGGGCTTGATCCAGAGACCAGGCGAACCTGAGCACTTGCACATTGCATTTTCTGAGTCGATGTGCCTCCGTCTCAAATTCTCGTCGCTACTGGTTGAAGGCCTGCGCACGCAAATCGCTCGCCTTCTGGGGCTGCGCTGCACTCCGAGCGGCACCAGCTACTGGGACTTTTGGGGCGGCACCCAAAAAAAAAACACACACACACACACACACACACACACACACCCACACACCCACACACCCACACACCCACGCACGCGCTGCAATCAAGGCACTCTGTATGGAGAGGGCCTCGTTAGGCAGGCACACTAGAAGCCAGCCCAAATGCACAAGGGACCAGCCCTATCAGGGCCCTAGCAAGCCCTGGTAGCAATGAAAAACAGCAAGGTGCTTTAAACTTTTGACACAGCTTGCTTCCCCGCCACGATAAGGTATACATGGTGACCTGCATCTAGCTGGCAGCCCCCGTCCATGCCCTTCTTGGCACAAATCTTTCGGCAACTTGGCGACTCCCAGCGCAAGGCACCACGCTCGGCTGCAGCCTGCAAGCCCAACACAATGGGCACTGCTTTGAACGGAAATGCCGCGGAAATGCCCATCGCAAATTGTTGCACTTGCATCTACACCAGCCAAACCCTCACATGCGAGTCGTACTCCAAGTAAGGACAGGCCAAGCCACCAAACCGGCGGGGACCAGTGGTGTGGATGTACGTGCTGAGTTCGGGTGGGCCTTGACTCTGACTGAGATAACATGACAACGCTACCGGCTCAAAGATATACATGCTGAACGTACGTGCGGGCAAGAGGAAACCTCTTCGCCACGCTGATAAAATCTGATAAACTGATTTCAAGATCATCGGCGCCGTCCCCGGCGTTTCCCAAGTAATCCAAGAACCGGAAACATCCGGAAGCGCATGGCACTGGGCGCTCACTGCGCACTCGCTGCGCTTTGCCGAGGAGCTGCTGGCCCAGGAGCTTTCGAATATGCGACAGCAGGTGGGTGCGGTGATCGCTGCCCTTCGTTCAGGCCTCAGGCTTTATAGGGTCTTAAACTCGCACCTTCCTGTTGGCAGTACGCAAATCATTCATTCGGCAACCAAAAGCTCATCAACCATTTCTGTAAGAATCTGACCATGCTGTGTCCTCAGGCGTGTTCAGACCCACAAAGCAACTTTTCTGCATGTGATTAAATCACCGAGCACAAGTCCTTGGAGAATGCAGAATGTAGCTCTCCGGGGTTGGGGGCGCCTCAGGATTTGCCCGTGCATGGGACCGAAAACCGAACGAAAGACAATGCTGCTCCGCCACGCCAATCTCGCACCCTGTCGGTGACCCCAGACACAATATTCCATGTCTAAGTCCAGGGGTCTGCTGTCGGCTGTTGAAGCGGCTGCTGCGCCACTGAAGCAGATTGCAAGGGGCTCATCCAGTAAGGTGCTGGGCTCCGGCTCTGCCTTGCTAGTCAGCACACATACATGGGCAGTGGACAATGGCCGAAGAAGGGGCCCTGCGTGCAAAAGCGTGCCAGGAACACGGACTTGCTTGGGGTGGAACGATCGAGTGCCTTGGCCAAGCGTGAAGGCGTTCTTCCTGGTTTCGCGTATGTGTATTCTCTTGAGTTCCACACACTTGGCGAATCGGTGACAGGTCCCTCTTGACCGCGGCTGGTGACTGGACCTGTCATTGCTTGTGTTGCCATCGACATTCTTTTCATGAGACTTGCCTCCATCAGAAACCACCCTCGAACTTATTTCGCACCTCACCCACGATGCTGAGGAGGCCGCTGCTCTTGTGTGAAAGGATGGAGCCTGCCAGCAAGAGAACACGATCCGACGAACGTGTACAGCTCAGCCCCCTTCAGGGCCTACGGGGTAGTTTGCAGAGCAGCTGCGCGTCAGCGGAGACGCATGCTCCTCCCCACCTGAAGAGCACAAGTCACAATTGATTGGGCTTTGACTTATCCATCTGGTGCGAACACTACAGCCGACAGCCCTTATGTGGTTGGAATGCGGCGTGAATTTGGCCGCGGTGCATCTTCGTCTTTTTCGTGTTTTAGCTCGGTATTTGCGACACTTCCTTCACTTTTCCTCCCGTGCCATTTTGACCTCAGTTGTACACTTCTGTTTTTTTTCCATGCCTCATTTCTTGACTCCATGTGTCCGTTTCCCTGGGTTCTTGCACATTTCGCACTTGAATGTTCCGCATACCATGTAGTTGCTCTTTGTTGCAGGGCATGTTCATGTTTGCTTTGTCGGGCCAAGGTGTCGGTTGAAGCTGTCTTGCGTGAGAGACCAAATGTTCAACACCATGGAAGCTGTACTGCATGGAGCGGCAGCTTTTCAAGGCGTAGCTGTGTCAAGATTTCCTCTCAAACTAGGCGAAAGGCTGACAGGGTGTCTCGGAGAGCATGCAGTCAAATTGCCCGTGGAAGCCTCAGACCAAATTCTGCAGGGCTGCATCAAGTAACTGTGGAGAAGGAACAAGACAAGAGACAAAAGTAACTCAGTGAAACTCAGCAAGACATGCCTGCATGGATCTCGCGGTCGCGGGACTCGCACCGCATATCTCATTGCATCACGAGCGGCCAGAGCGTGAAGCGGCATGTTGTGGATTTGCCGGGATGGTGTGGCATAGGGGCTGCTGAGTGCCACTCTGGGCGATGCGGCGTCCAGACTTGCATCTATCCGTTGGCGCAGGCTGCTCCCCACAGCTGTGCCAGGCACCTTCAGGCAGAAAGTTGGCGGGCCGGAGGCCTATGATGGCCTCTGCTCCGAGAACCCTTTGTGTGCCATGTGTGCCCACCTTCAACTGCCCCGCCATGACGCGAATTAGGGCTTGCATTTGCACGACCATCTTGGTCAAGTCGGACACCTGCTCGGCCGCACTTCGGCCGTGCTGTACGTCCTTCAACCAACTCTCCACCTTGGCTTTGAACTTGGCTTCGCGAACGTGACGCAAGGGAAATCTCAAGTCTCAAGCAAAAAAGGACGTATATAATTACCAACCCTTGAGCAGCCAAAGCATGGGCGGAGCTGTGTTGGGTCATGTTTTCCTTCTTCCCCACTTGTGTTGAGGTCCCGTAGGGTATGACTAACTTGGAGGGTCATTCGGCAAGCACAATTCGAGACGTCCGACCGCAACAAAAATCCTGTCAGACTCGCCTGAGGCACTCGAGAAATCCAAATGCTGTAAGCTGGAGCATTTGGCGGTGCTCGAACGGTGCGTGAAATACATTTCCCAATATACCGAAGCGAAAGCCGAACCGAAGACTACGATTGGGATGCCGCGAGACATTGAAGCTTTCCCAGTCCATGATCTTCTGCCACATCGTGTCCGAGGTCTCTGTGGCCCTCCGCGGAGTTGCGGGCGCATTGGGCGCAGTGGACGCATTCGACAGGACGCGGTGCATGGGGCCGGATGCCTCTGACGGTCTCAACCAAGCTTTGTTTCAGCTTTGAAGTTCTGATTGGGCCCACAATCGAGAGGTCTTGGCTTCAAGATTGGACAATCTTTGAATATGGTCAGCGCTTCAGCACATCGCAGGTGTTGCTTCAAACTTGCTGCTTCCAGCCTCTTACACGTGCCAAAGGAAGGTTGGGCCTTGGGGCTCAATTACAAGCGATCCCCGAGACAAGCCTTCGGGCTTGCAAGACAACATGGTCTTTGTGATATTGGGGTCATCCTGTACATCTCTGCTTTGTAGGCATTCGGAAGGGCGCAAGGGTGATATCCCAGAGTTTGCCTCCTTCGCAGGCGCCAGCGGCGGGCCACTTGCGTAACTTGCATTGCCTTCAGGTCGAAACTGCGGCATAGTCCTCGGCACAGGCACGTCTTCTGCATGCATGCGCTTTCGTGGAGCACCTGCCACTTGTTGCCACTTTGCTCAGATACTAGCCACATGGGGCTGAAACAAAGCCCAGGCACTGCTTGCACACTGCCAGGGCTGGGCTCATGGTGATGCCCGCACCTCTGAGGGCTTCAGAACTCAAGTCACGGCATGTCACGACTGGGGTACACAGTGTACACACACCACTGCAGGCCTTCTGGCTTCATCGTAGCTGCCTCCTCCTGCAGTTTAAGACACCGAGCAGCGATGTTCGCTGCCAGGGCTTCTTGCGGGGATGCCGAAGGTTTTGGAGTCAGAAGCAGCAAGGTGGCTCCAGGATCTAGGCTGGAACCCGTGACCTGAAGCTTGCGAAGCAAGACAGAGATCTCGACAGAACAGAAAGCAGATCCGTACACTTAGGTCCTCTGGCCCTGTGGTTCAGCTCAAGAAGTTGACATAAGTTGACTCATGTGCATCCAAGGAAGCTGATGTCAGGCCGAAGCCCGTTCTCGGGCGATTGATGACCATGGAAATCTGTCTCAAGCCTGCAGATTTCGAGCGTCAAACATCTCGCCATGTGAGCGGCTTGGCAAGTTTGAGCTGCCGAAGCTGCCTTCAGCGTGGCGGCGCAAGGGTTCAGGCGCCTGGGCAGTCCTGGGAAGCCCCGAAGAGGCCAGTGAGGCCAGGAAGACCACGGTCAGCCTCAGCTCGACAAGAGCAGAGCAGAGCAAAGGCACAAAAACTCACAGCACTTCCTCGGCACTTTTGCCTCATGCCTCAGATCTCCTGCATCCAAGCCACGCGCCCATTTCATTGGCGTGGGCAGCCGTCAGCTCCAAGATGAAGTGGCTCGTGCCAAGCTGGCCTCTCACTGTTGGCTCGGGACGTATCTCATCGACTCATCCACTTCTTCGTTGCATCCGGGCTTTACGCGATATCTGCCGGAACCAAAGACTCAACCCACTTCGCTCCATCTCATGACCGACTTATCCACTTGCATTGGCAAGTAATGACAAACTCTGCTTCAAGCCTGGATCTCTTGATCGGCCTTGGAACTATCAGGCACGCAAAGCGCAACCTGGAAAGGACCGCAACGACCGCTGCACAACGACCTGCACTGGAAAGCTTCTACCAGGCGGCGGTGCAGGCATTCGTCCACCCGGTCCAAGCACTGCTTCAGAGGCTCGCTGGTGCAAAGCAGCGCCTCCACAGAGGCTACGGAGCGTCGCCAGACCGTATTTCCGCACGCTTTGCTAAAAAGTTGTCTCGAAGCACTTTGCAGCCCGCTATGTTCAAGCGTTTTACACCCCTGGCGCCATCAGAAAGTGCAGGCTCACAGCTGCTTCGCTGGCATTCGCTGGCCAGCTAAGTATGCGCTTCAGCCGACTTTATGCCGCCGCTCCCTTATAAAGGACGGCCCATATATACTTTTGGCAATGCGTAGCGGATGCCCGTGACATCTGGTGATGCGTGAGGACATGCAGTGGTGGACTTGACAGCAGCTGCCCTGCATACTGCTGCCAAGCTGCATTGTCATCTAAAGCGAAGGGGTCCTAAGGGAGATACACGCTGTTTACACGTTAATTTAACTGCTTAAGCAGCCTGTTGCCGTGGCCCACAAATGCCTCAAGTCAAACCGCAGGATGCAACCGCAAGAAAGAGCACAAACCGAATTCTCAGACTTTGCTGAGGATTGAACTTTTTCAATCGTGGCAAATGGAACCGAAGTGTGCCGAGACTCAATGGGCTTGTCTGCAAGAGCATCCAACCACTGCATTTGCTGATTCTCATCCTGCGAACGGCTCAGCATGGAAACGGAGACAAAGCATGGCAACACCAACGCGGCTGCGAATACTCAGTTGAATTGGCCGTCACTAGTCCCAACCCCCATCTTCTGTGCCTTAAAGTCCTAAGTGAAGCCTCTCCCTGTCCTCGCAGCACTGAAGCAATGACACTCCAAGACGCAGCAGCCGCTGTGCTGCAAGGCGTGCGGAACCTGTCCTCACATTGTAATGCTGGCAGGTTGAAGTTGGGAGCATGCAGGCTTGAAGAGAACGGGAGCGAATGCTTGCATCACTTCGCAACAACTGCTGCGAATAGCTACATGTCCCATTCTTCTCCAGGTAGCACTTCCACCATTCTTCCGCTAGCGATGACTAGCAAAAGCTCTTGGAAACTTGGAAAGGCACATCATATCGCAGGATGCTGGCCGCAAAAGCGCATTCAGCAGCCGTAGGCCCAGGTCAGAACCTGAGGTCGAAATGCACGTGATCCCACTTGTGATTCCACTGCTTCACTAGTTGCCTTTCAGCTCCCAATGCCAAACATGCTAAACACGTCTCCAAAATAAGAAGTTGCAAAAATCTGCAGGTTTTGCGACAAGATCGATGTGTGGAAAGGCTGCTTTAGAGTGTTCGATCAAATGCGTTTTTGTTTCTGGTTGATTACCTTTCTTAACCCTTGTTCCATGCCATGTTTCTAGGGCCTCGGACCTGTGTCTGCCTCCTTCCCCCTTCTCAAAGTACATCGGCTTGAGGGATGGGGTTTGCCTCAGCACCCACCTTACACTCTCGAGGTCACTCCCAGCTATGACAGCTATGAGCTTCCAGGGGCTTTTGTGTGCCTGTCTTTCGTTCCAAGAATGAGGCGCTTGGAGTTCAGCTTGTTCGATTCGTCGAAATTTCCACACTCTCGTTCACAGGCGAAGACTTCGTCGGTTTTGTGCGAAAACCCAAGCCACGGCGATTTCGAAGGCTCGATTTTTGCCGAGCCGTGTGTAGGAGCCTCCGGCTCCTTACCGGATCGTTGCTGAATCTGGTGCGCTTAGCAATCTGAAGCATGCACCGTGTGACATCACCTTCGGCATCAAAGCCCGCGTGCAAGAACCTAAACAACTATACTCAACGCCCTACATGAAAACCTACATCCAAGATCATCCAAGCTTCTGCCGTAACATCCAACGAAGCTCCGGTGACCTTGTAGGACCTGAGATCTGCCCACAACCATCAGGCCTATGCTGCAGTTCTGCGTGCCGCCAAAGTGCCGGGTCCACCAGCCTGCAATTGAGATGTAAACGTAAAGGGTTGTAAAGCCCGCCCTCCCCCCCTCCCCCCACCCGCCCTGCCCCCATCCACCCTCCTCCCCGCGAGTACGGGATACTACAACCAAAAAGGGGAGTATTGCACCCAAAAAGCGGGATCTCACAACTGCTCATTGGTTTGAGTGCAAACCGGAAACTGTGATATCGCAACCGCTTATTAAGGTTACAAGCTACCAACTTTCCCAACCAGAGTTGGGGTCCTAACAGAACATCAAGTAACTCTGAAAACATCTTCAGTTTTGACATCTCTTATCTGCTTGGCCCCTGTCCTCCCTGGGTTGTCTAAACCCGATCAGCACTGCGAGGCTAAATCTTAGAGATTGAGTAACAAATGCCCAGAGGCAAAAGCACAGCTGCAGATTTTGCAGAGTGCGCTCGATGCCACAAGAGGCGTTCGTTTCTCATTGATGTTGCATGTGGTTGCCCAGTGATTTTGTGGTTTTCTCATGGCGTTTCTGTGTTGTGGGCCACAGAATTCCCTACACCAGAAGCTTGCATACATAGATCTACTTCGTTTCTGCAACATTGATTGTTTTCATGTGTGGTTGCACAGTGATTTCATGGTTCGCCTGATTATTATGTGTTGCGGGCCACAGACCCTTCACCAGGATCTTGTAAACATGAATTTATTTCGTTTCTGCAACACTCATTGATTTTACATCTGGTTGCCCAGTGACTTCGTGGTTTCCTCATGACTTGTATGTGCTGTGGGCCGCAGAATTCCCTACATCAGTAGCTTGTATAAATAAATTTACTTCGTTTCTGCAACATTGATTGCTTTCATATGCGATTGCCCAATGACTTCGTGGTTTTCTCATGATTTTTATCTCTTACCTCTTTAGGAAAAATCAGAAAGCTCTTCTACCTCGACCTCGAAGCTTGCAATAGCCAGGCACACCCTGAGAGGGTCGCCAGACTCTGCAACATTCGCATGAGCCAGAATGGCCTCCGGTTGCTATATCCACCAACATGCGAGGCACTGGTTGTGCTATCCGCATTCTCAGGTCTCCTCGGTTGTAATAACCACTTTCTTGGTTTTGGTATCCTCCATCTGGTTGTGTTATCCTGTAAGCTCCCTCCTCCCCCCCCCAAACAAGCCACCGGCTAAGGGAATGCTAAGGGATCAATGTGCGTGACAATGTGTTGGGCCTGCTCCTCCCTCCGAGGAATGCATAGATGTCCTGCGGAAATGCGCCGTCTGCCTTGCCACCGTATTCATGACAACACGGAACTTCGAATAGAAGTGTCACGTGGTCAACTCTTACATGCAGCCTGTCCCACATAAACGAATGGGGATTCGCATGATACATTGCGACTATTTGCGACGGAGGCCTCACGGCAGAGGACTCGCGGGACTCCGGAAGCTGCAGCGTCCGAGGCAAGACTGAACAGAGCGTCACTGACATCCTCGGCTTCCTGGCAGCCTGTAGACACCAACACCAACAGACACCAACGCTTCTCGCAAATTCTTTGCGAACCTACTCCGTCCCGCCTGGGCCTTCATCTTCGGCAAAACCGTCTGTCATCAGTGCATGTTTGGTCCGTTATGTCTTCGAGGTGTTCTAAACATCTTGGGCTGTGGCAAAGATATCAGAACTGCACAGATCAAGTTTCCAATCAATGTCACAGCAACTGCTAAAATGGATCGCTAGCGCTACCTACGACATGGAGTTAAGGCACACACAAGCTCTGGATCCCGAGCCCAAATGTCTAGGAAGGGCATACTATTGCTCCATGCGTGCATCAACGGCTTTGTTCCTGCACGAAAAGTCATGCCCCCCCCCCCCCCCCCCCGCGTTCTTTTCCCTGCTCCTGCAAGTGGTGATGTCGAGACTTCGGAACTAAATTGTTTGTACATAATCGCCCAAGGGCTTGCATCTTGCGGCCGCTTGCTCACAAATGCAGCTCATTATCATTGTCGGGCACCTGCAGACTTGTGCAACGTCTCAGACTTCGCCAGCAATCTCACGCAGAGCAATCACGACAAGCCCCTCAGGTCTACATGCGCAGCTTGGCATGCCCCATCGGGATTGCTGCCAGCAAGGAGATTTGGATGTGGGAGTCTTCGATCAACCAAACGGCCTTTGGGGACCGACTCATCGAGAAGGCTTTGCCTCTGCGCCACCAGCCATGGCATGCATCCAGCAATACTCGCATGCAGCAACTAACTTCTTGGAGCTGCGGACTGCGCCCTCCGGAAGCCTGTCAAGTTCTCAGGCCTCAACTCTGACCCACGGCCTCATCATGTCTTCCCAGAGGCTTATCCTTGGGATGCACTGCAGCTTGGCGAACTCGACGGCATGTCAAGAAGATGGCACATGGCCGACGCAAGCAAGTCCTTGCGGCCAACCGCGAGACTGCGCGCGTTAACTTTGTCAGCAGCGACGCCTTCAGAGCAAGCAGCTACATCTCGACTTTGCAGGTAGCCGGTAACCTTCATAACGGAACACTAATGCCAGCCTGGTCTTTGAGCTTCTGGGCTCGCTCGTGCGCCCGAGCCTCATACGCTGCCAAGCGATCCTGCTGAACCTGGCACGGGGCACTTGAGTTTTGGGCATATTTAGGCTTAGCTCAAGATCCAGCATCTGCAAATCCCCGAGCCTGCGATGCCAAGGTGAGGAGTGCTATGAGGTCTTGATAGACGACATGCTTGCGATCCTCCGCGCAGTTTCTTCTCACGGAGGTTCTTGCACCGCTGTTGGTTGAAAGCGCGTTTTTTTGAACGTACCAGTTTGGCATTGCAGATGTGCAACGTATTTGTGCTGTGGGATGCTTGTTCTTGCGTGTGTCAATGTTGATGTTGCATAGATTCTAGATACCTTCGGGGATCATCGCCAGCATCGTCAAAGCAAAAATTATCCATCTTGAGCGTCCTTGTGACTTCGGACCAGTTCCGGCATGACCTCTTCAAGCTCTTGTGCCAGAAAGCCATACCTCTGCCAGCTGCAAAAAACACCACGCAACCCGCCGCCTACTCAATGGAGGGCACGGCCGACAATCATGCACACAAAAGTTCAGCTTAAGCTCAACAACAGCTTAACTTTAGTTCTCGAGCGCATTGCATTTTCAAGCTGCTCCGTACTTTGCTTGGTCCTCCCGCAACCGAAGAAACAAGCTTAGCATGCCATAGATCCTTTGATTGCCGCGCCCCGCTCGGCGAAACGCTGCCACCAGCCGGTCTATGTCATGCAGGCGAAGGTCCACGCCACGCTGCTGGGCACGTACACCCAGCCTCTTCCATGCCAAGTCATGATTCACCTGCCGTGCCGCGAAGAACTCCGCAAGGACCAACAAAGTGTCAGCTCGGAGGGAAAGGCCCCGCCTGGCAACGTAGTCGGCGACTTGATATACGGGCCGCGCATCATCCACGTCCAGAATCAACAGGGCCTTTGCCAGCTCGGCGGCCATGTCCTGGTTGAAAGTGTGATCCAGGCGCAATCGCCTCGACTCCTCACAGAGAACCTCGAGCATACCGTCCTCCGGCCGCCATTTCAGCATGCCCAGAGCCGCCCAGATGCCAGTAACGCCCTGTGCTGCAAAAGAAATCGCCCGCGTCTCCATGGCCTCGAGCATCAGCAAAAGGAGCCACTCCAGGAATCGCCGGTCGTCGGGCGTCAGTTTGCCAACAGCTTTCAACAGAATGCACAAGTTATGGCTTGACTCGGGCAAACTCTGCCCAAGCAGCAGTCTGCGGACTGATTGTTTCAGGATGACAACTTCTGAAGGCGACACGCGGTCAACGGCTGCCAGTCCCCAGGCATACATTGCCAAGTCCGGCAATGCGAACTCTTGCGCTCGATCACAGAGGGCATTACCGAGGGAGGCCCAAGCATGCTCATCATGGACAAGCGTCCTCCTGAGACTTCGACCAAGAACTACCACAAGCTAAACAGGAACGCAGAAGATACACGCTTTAAGAAAAAGAAAGCGATTTCAGTTCAAGCTGCCCAAGGCCCCAGGCACAGAGTGCAACCTGTTTTGGTGTCATGAGAGGAACGCGAGCCACCATCAGTGGAAGCAGCCTCCACACAGCTGGAGCATAGCCTAAAACACCATACCGGTGGAGCAGGAGGTGCACACTATCCTGGAAGTGCAAATCAGCTTTCGATACCAGCAACTGACTGTACTCCTGAAACTGCGGCAAGGACGTGCTGAAGCGTTTTCGCACTGTCAGCAGTGTCAGGGATGCAAGCCAGTCTCGCTTAGAGAACTCTCCATTACGCTCCAAGCAGAAGCAGAGGAAGTCGTTCGCCTCGGGGTAGGCTGCCATCTCCCGAGCCAGCGGAGTATCACACTCCCATCGCAAGATCTTGGCACCCCGAGTGGCCAAACGCTGATGGGGTGGTCTTTTCGGTAGTCTCCATAGCAGCCACATGCAGGCACCGAGATTGGACTTCAGCATGAAGTGAGCACTGCAACACCATGCTTTATCTTCAGCCTTCGATGGCTAAACTGGCGGGTGCCATGTCCTTGCAAAGGCTTGTTGTGTTTGGTTTTTTGGTTTTTTGCACTTTGCAGGATTCCATGAGGCGCATGTTTCCCACAGCCCTAGAATCCCTAGAATCGGTCTTCGACGCACAAGCCCTCATCACTTCTCGTTTGAGCCTTCGAACACTGTAAACCTTCGTTGGCCGGCTTCATTCACACATGCTGCACTGTAGCGTCACTGGCTCGCCTGACGTACTTGGCGTCTGGTCCTTCCTTGAAATAGTATGAGACCGGTCGTAGCTCCTGGCTCATTGCTCACCTTCTATAGAAAACACAGTCAGTTTCGAGGGCGCAAAGCAGCTCATCCCCTTCGGTTCAGTCCCGCAGAAGCCAGCCCACGGCTTTCGCTCTGTCCGACTCTCCTGGCGGCGAAGCAGGACAATGGAGCCAAGGCAGGCGGCGACGCCAACTATTAATTAGCATGGCCATCGCGCCATGCACGCAAGAGAAGAGAACATTTAGCATCAAAAAGCTGTGCCTTTCTGGCATTATCTGCGCACCCAACCAAGAAAAGTTACAGTGAAGGAGCATACGAACCGTCATGGGATTGCTTGGCGGTCAGAGCTGCAATGTAGCAATGCAGAGCTCAGCTAATCAACGCCGTATCAAGTAGCAAGAGCGACGAGGTAGAAAAGCAAACAACGCTTGCAAAGGAAAGCGCAAGTTGCAGAAACAACTGAAAGCAGATGCGGCAAAGCAAATGAGGGAGCAAACCTGCAAAAAAATCTAGAGGCAAACGAATAGGCAGGGCAGAATATGAGAAATGCAGCCTCGTGACAAAGCTAGATGCATCAGCCAATTATACTTGTTCATCAGATTCTACCAAGATTGCATCTTTGTCAAGCTGCGATCACAAGCACACACAGTGCTTTGCGATTGACTTCCATGGCTACAAACCAAAATCCGAAGCCCAGCCTTCTGAGCCTGCTTTTTCAGAGCTAGTCCGCTGCATGGCCCGGGCAGCGAGAGCCCGATCCAATGGCTCAATGCGACGCCTGAGCACCAGAACAAGAATCCGCAGTGGCAAGCGACAGACAGAGAGAGAGAGAGAGAGAGAGAGAGAGAGAGCTTAGGGTACAACACAGGGATTTTCAAGCTACAGTAAGGGCTCAGCTTTAGCCTCTGGTCTGACGCACTGATGATACTTTCAGACGACCACGTGCCTCGGTAAGCTACGCAAAACAACTGCACATAACTGCACAATCCGCACTCAACGCACACCTTCGGAGCGGGTACCTTAGGCTATGGCCATGCAGGCTTCCACCAGCGCTGCTGATGCTCATCCGCTTGAGTCCACCGGCCTTGGCTACGAGCACTGGAGCCTGCCCTCTCCTTGCGCGCCCAGTAAGATCCGCACGTGGACTCTGAGCTCTGTTGCTCCAGTGTCGTAGTAGATGTAGTTGCTCCTGCAAGGGATAGACTACATCAGCAAACACACTGCCTTTGTCGATGACTGACTGACAATGCAGCACATACTGCACGCCAAAAGGCGCCCCGTTGAAGTGCAGGGCAGAACCTGTACAGAGAGGCAAGCATGAAAGCACTTGAAACGAGGGAGCAACAGACAAGCTCGAGCGACATGGAATGCATGGGAAGAGTGTTCTTTGATTGTAAGTTGTGAGGCACTAGGAGGAGGGAGGAGGGCAAAGAGAGGGCCACAGCGAGAGAGCACTTGAGGGAAAGTCCATGGAATGAAAAAGAGGAGGACAAAGAAAAGGCAGCTGACTCCGAACTCCACTCCGGCCTGGGTACACATTTTGTTGGACTGCCGAAGTGCTCTCCGAGCAAGCGATGCCCATTGGCATCCTTGGCTGCACAAGCGTGATGAGTTCAACTGGCCTACAGGATTCTCAAAAACGCAACCCTCACCCTGTGGCCAAGGACCCGGCAAAGGACTACCAGGCTGAGCAAATTGTCTCAGCGGCAGGGAAGCATCGGAACCTTACTTGCAAAAGCCGCGAACCTCAACTTGCGGATGTTTCCAGATCCAACCTTCGGATAGCCAGTGCCACCCTACAAGTGGGTCATGCTCAAATGTCGATCCAATGGGTCATCCACACCAAAAAGGCTCATGGACAGGTACTGCTTAAGGGAGTAAGAGATGCCTAATCTTGCGGGCTGCTTGCGGGGATCGCAAAGCGTGTGTTTGGAATCTTCTTCAGAGAAAAATCGTCACATCTCTACCCTTGGGCCACCACGAGAAGAATCCAGAATCGAAGCCGCTGTGCCAGGGCCTGCGAGTGACTTGCTGGAGCAAGTCTCAGCAATTCTCAGCATATCTTCGAAAAGAGCTGCCACACCACATGTGTCACATGAACCATCGTGTAGATGCCCAACCACGGAGAGCCACTGACAAGCCAGAAACCGCTCCCTGGGAGCCCGGCAGGCAAGGCTGCGCAAAGAAGGAGAGATGCCCAACTGAGTAAAACTGAACAGCTTCTCAGTCTTTCCCTCTCTCACCCTCTGCTAAGGTTTCTGTAGAAATCCAAGCGCAAACTTTGCTAGCTCCGGGTCGATGCTGACTAACGTCTCCCTCTGCTCAGGTCGCAGCATGCAAGGAATCCGAAGCAATCAGCAACAGGCCAAATCAGACCCTGCCAAGAGCCAAAAGCAGGAAGTCCAAATGCCCCACCTGGAAATGCAGACTCAGAGCTCCGGAGTCTACATGGCCGGCGAAACGCCATGGGTCGCGGTTCTCACGCTGGGACCCACGCATGACGAATGGACAGCAAGCCTGCCACGCATCATCGCAGCTAAAATTTGAAATACCCCCCGGGTGCACTGCTGCATGCTGAAACTATATGGGCAGCTGACTGATCAAGTTCACGTTCCCGCCAATAGTTGCATCACCTTGCCAGCTCTGGGAAGAAGCTCGTCCATTAACAAAACGGCCGTGCTCAACTGACAAATAATGCTCCCATGATGAATCTGGGCGTCCCATCACACTTACACATGCAGGGTTTGCAGCAGAAGCCTGCACAAAGATCCTTAGAGAGGCACCCGCCGTAGGTGGCCCCAAGCCGAAGCGCGCAGACCTGTGGATAATCGTGTGATTGCAGCACGAAAACTCAGCAGCATGAAACCTCTACAATCGTGCTCATGTGAAGCTTTACAAGACAATACAGCCCAGCACAACTCGAACATAGCTCTTACAATCACAGCAGCCTGGCTAAGGCATTTGCAGTTTGCCGTCGGAGTGAGAAGCTGGTTGAGTAAATAAGGCCAGCACGATCTGATAGTCAGTGGTGAGCCAGAAGAAGCCTGAAGAAGCCGTCCAGAAAACGGGCGAAGTCATCCCTTTGTGTATATTGGAGCGCTACAACCCCAACGCGTCTCAAAAGGCAACCGAGGCACAGGGTCTGGCACCATGGCTGGCGTGCCAAATCGGGCCCGGCCAAATGACATAAGCGTTGGCTCCAGGCACGCTGACGTCCTGAAGTGGCCAAAGACTGTCAGCGCAGCAATGGCACTAACCAACATTTCTACGGGCTCAATGGTCCTCCAAAAGGGTTTGGTTGGCTACTTAGGAGCGCGCCGAGGTTCCATGCAGATGTCGTGCTACGAGTAAGGATACTGGATGAGCACCATACTATTGGCGAAGCCACATATGGGCAGCCAATGGCGCACATACAAAGGGATAAGGTTTCTATTCTCAATTCCAGAAGTGCCTCAGCAACAATGGGACGTCTGCGAAGCTAAAGTCCAACACTGCTGACAGCGGTCCAGCCTCGCAAATTTCCCCACAGCGTTCGCGCGCACACACACACACACACACACTCACTCACTCACTCACTCACTCACTCACTCCGCACTCACTCACTCACTCACTCACTCACACTCACACTCACCGCTCGGAAATGCGAAACAAACACCCCCATGGAACTGCTTGGGCCGGAACGCGGGCCACACCCGCCAAGGAAACGGCTGCATCTGGTTGAACGAAACCTCTGCAAGCATCGCAGCACCATGCATTCTGCCCCCTCTGCGCAGGGAATGAGCACCAGACTTCGCAACACCAGGGCAGGGCTGAAATGCGCAAAGTCCTTTGCTCAGACGGTCGTTGAAAGTTCAACTTGACAAAATAAACCGCTTCAACCTTCATGAAACACGCCCAGCGGCCGGAGTTGACAGCAAGGACCCGACTCTGAGGGCCGAGATCCTGAGGTCTCTGAATATCGAAGGACTCCGTGCACTGTCCGCGCTCGCGATTTTTGAGTGCCAGGCACTGGGAAGGGCAAACCAGGCCAGGCCGGTCTCTTGGACAACAACGATGACTCAACCTTTCACCAGCTGCACTCACCAGCCGCACTACCGGCTGCAGTCCAATTCATCTTCTCTCTCTCACACAACAAAACCCCGAGAGCAGAACAAAACCCGCATCCAGGGTGGATAGGAAGAAGCCGGGATTGGCCGATCGCGGCACGGACCTTACCAATCGCTTCGGACAGCAACCCCTTACCGACAGTTCCGCAACCTTCCGCAGTTCTGTGCCGCGGGCAGGCTCGCATCGGACTGGGAGAAGCTTCGTAGAGTCAGCAGAAATTCTGGCTGAAGAGAGTCCTGATCAAACAGCCAGCATGTCCCACCCGGTAAGGCTCATGAGTGCAAAACGACTGAGCCCGCAGACCGGCGCGACTGGAGAGGAACCGAAACAGCCTTCCATGCTCGGATGTGCACAAGACACGAGGGAAACGAGCGACCTGCCAACCTCCGATCCCACTTGAAGCAACTTAATTCTTAAGTCTCAAAATCCCGAAAGCCAAGTCCTGGCCTAAGCCAATCAGCAGGACACTCGAGCCGATCCGAACCAGATTCTGTGCCGATGGGAAACCTCGAGGCGAAAGACCGCGAGGCAGACATCACTTTACCAATATTCATGTCGCACCTTCAGGTTGTTTAAGAATGTTTTTAAGACTTGGACTAGCAAACGAATCCGCTTGGGCTGCTGCTTCCCGTGTAGGAAGAGTCCAGCACCGAAGGCAAGGCTTCAACTCGCGCGTTGCCCAAGACTGTCGACACGAAGTCCGACCTGGCATGTCGACCTCAGGCGAACAGAACCTGCATCCGTTGGGCAGATCAGTGAAAGCTCTCGCTTGGGAATAGTCGTGGCAGGTTCCTTAGGCTCCTGCGCAGCATGAGCGACAAGCCTGTGCCGAACAGTCTCAACAGCCACCGTTCGTCGAGCTGCGAACTGCTTCAGGAAAACCAGCAAATTCGGCCTGGTTGGCTGGGGTCTAGCGCGGACACCGAGGCATCAAGCCGCGAGAGCCCGCAAGCTGTCAGCATGAGCCTTGGAAGAAAAACAACACAGAACATCATCGCTCGTTTCAGATATATACAGAATTCGACTGCTGCACTGGTTCTATACATAACAACAAACCCATCCTGCAAATTGTTGCCACCGAGGGACACCAATCGACAAAAGCCGTGCGAGAGCAGGAAAGTATCAGATGAAGCGACCTTGGCACTGCGCAGAAGGCACATGCTGTCAACGAGCTAGTCGCAAGTGGAAATGAGGGGGAGAACAGTTCGGAAAACAGCCAACAGCAGCAGATGTTTGTAGGTATCTGGCTGTCAGGATGGAGGGCAAGCTTCCTGCATTAGATCTCCCAAAAGCGGGCAAAGAAAGCTCCAGCCTGAGAGCATCCCAAGATTTGACACAAAGCATGATCTCAGAATTGTTGTTCTCTTGTACCTCTGAGGCACCCACCGCGTGTGACAATGCAACAGCGGCAACGCATCAAGGCTCGCAAAATCCAAGTTCGATGGGAGCCTGGGAAAGACTAGGTGCTGGTGACACGGTGGTGTGGGAGACTCCCAGGTGTGTAGATGTCCTGCAGATGCCCTTCGAGGCACAGGCAGGCCAGGCTTGCAGGTGCCTGGTACTGGTATTGTAAGCTCCAGCCTGCAGAGCGCCATCCAGCGGACGGGGGGGGGGGGGCTGCCTTTGCTAGGGCGTGGGAATCACACTAGGTCCCTAGGTCGAGGGCTGGGACTATCCAGGAAAAGGCTAGGGTTCTCCTAGGAATTTCTTTTTGGAATATCCAGGACTCCCTTGGACATCAGCGGCCTGCTGGAGTGGCGTGGTGTCAGAAGCGGCCCGGGATTCTGAAATCCACAAGCGGGCAGCACGAAGGCCGACCTCTTCGTTCCAAAATACAATACTTCAACTAATTGTCAATCATTCAGGCTTTCTTCATGCTTCTGCAACTTACACGCGTGTAAACGTGAGTTGAGCCGGCAACTGCGCAGAGCTTCGGAGCAATAGGAGGCTGCCCAGATGTAGAGAATCTGGAACCTATCATGACGAGGATGCACGGCGACGAGGCGGCAATACTCGTCGTGTCACCCTCCCATCAAAATGCGGAGCAGAACCGGGTCAGACCCGGAGTCACATTGGCCAGGCTACGATTCGGCTACGATGGTTCGAGCCCAGTAAGTTCCTGGCAGACGTCGGCATCTCAAGACAAGCAGCGCCCACAAGCAAGGCGCATGGCCTGAATTAATTGAATTAGAACATGTGCCAAGTTTGCACAGCCCACAGCCAGTGTGCCCGTCTTGGTCGCGAGCCCAGGGCGGACGGGAGACCTTGGCAGAAAAGCACTTCTCAAGGCCTCTGCCAAAGCCCATGCAATCTTGCTCTTGCCAGTCTTGCCACTAGTTCTGATAGTGGCTGCAACCACGCCGCTGCAGCAATGGAAAGAAACCCGACCGTTTTGCATCCACTGCGACCTTTCGGAGCGAGTGGGGAAAGCGGGAGGCTACGGCAAGAGCTGCTCACATTGCACATGCTGTGTGTACGCACATGCGCACACACGTGTACACCGAGCCGTGTGCCATCAGTGTGTCCAGCTTCAGCATTCCGCAGGGCGGCGAGGAAGGGCCGCCTGCACAGCATTTTAGACACAAGTTTCCATGAACCCCCCCGAGATGCAGAGCCACCTACATTCGGAATATCTTACACAATCCGAGCTCAGCGCAACAACTGGGCCGCCGCAAGGACAAAAAGGGTCCCAGACCTCATTGAGCAGAGCATCTCCCTCCCCCCTCCCAGATACTGGACAGAAAGCTGCTTCGCCACACTTTAGGGAACGAGCAGAGGAAGTCCAACACCAAGGCTGGCCTAGCAGTCGAACCATCGAATCTGCTCACGTTTGCCGCTCCTGATGCCGAGGCGGGGGCAATCCTGTCCTGCTCAAGCTCAAAAGCACCGGCATCGAACTTGAACGTGCGAAACCTCCAGGACTCCAGGGTTGTGCCCGCTTCCTGCTTTCATCTCACCCGTTCCCCACCCCGATTCACCTTGCGTAAGCATCGGTGAGCTCAGCTTTGTGAAGTCACAGGCCGTCGGCAACATGCCAAGGCGTGCTAGACCACAGGCGGTGGGGGCAGGGTCCAGGCAAGCCTCCCGGCACATTGCGCATTGCCAAGTTGAACCAAGCATGGCAACATCCTTTTTGTCAGCTGAACTGAGCCGCGAACAGACTGCCGCGCAAGCAGTGCCGACTCCGAGTGGCTGCAGTCTAGCACCGGCAGGAACTGAGGCATGAAGAAACACCATCAACTCGAAGCAGCCAGCAAGTCAATACGTCTGTGCACTCCTAGACTCCCCTAGACTCCTAGTCACTCTCAGTCTCCGGCTTTCTCGAGAGCAGCACGTCCAAAGAATGGCGGGAGCATGCCAGGTCTTGCGGAACTCCTCGTGTCAAAAAATGGCGAAGCGACGATTGAAGCAGGCATTCTCTTGTTCGCAGACAATCTTTGAAGCCGGCTGAGCTTGGGAGGGGCTCAAAAAGCATCTAGCTGAAAGTTGCCAAAAACTGACATACTATTGTATTGTGTTCCTTTTATGGGAAAGGCCTCCGCACCTATCCGTTTCAGAACTACTCAAACTTTGCGGCACCTCAGCAACGAAGGGCTGCCCAAGCTGGCCAGCTGAGGAACTGCAAGAGCCAGTCCAGCACATGCAAAGCTCCTGGTCAGAGGTAGAGCCCAAGTAAGTGGAAACAGGATGCTCCTACCCGGACCCAAACCAAACATCCTCAGCATCGGCAGGCTACCCAGATGAAGGGAATCGAGTGCGGGTGGCACCGTCCCTGGCGCACAGGGGACTACCACATCTCGCTGCCGGGCTTCTCTGCCCATTGCCTGCACGACTGCATCCAGAGGTCGACATGGTGGCTTCAAGATAAGGGCGGCTGTGTGAGAGCGGAGGGCTTCCAATGTTCGAGATGCCTTATCCATGGGCTTTTCACAGCCGGCCCAGTTGCACTGCACATGCTTCGAGACATTTCGAGCCCTTCACTAAAAGCTGAGGGCATGACCAGCGACTGAAACCGCCACCTCAAAGCACCCGGAACTGCGTAGGAACGGCGATGGGCCGAAGATGCCAACGTCGAGGACGAAGACTGCAGCACCAGGCTTTGTCATGCCACACCTTGGCTTGAGCATAGGCCGCTACGCCTCCTACCGCCTCCATCAGCCCCTCGAACCCTGAGGGTGCCATCAACTGCGCCCCAAGCCACGCCGAGAGCATCGGACCAGGCTTTGCGTGGCTGCGAGCTGTGGGCGATGAACCAGTGCCAAACAAGCGCAGAGCAAAGGCAGTGCTGCCCAGCTTGGAAAGGCTCCGAATTGGCAACTGAGCGTCATATCTGCTAGGCAACAACAACAAGACAAGATAAAGATTGCGCACGTCGCAGATCTAGGACGCATTAGGATGCATTGGAAGGCATGACCTGTAAAGGTGAAAGACCATGACAACATGACTATTCAAGCCAGAGGGCGAGCACGTCCAAGTGCAAGAGATCCAGAACCGAAGGGAGCAAGTCCGTGCGCAGCAGTCCAAGAAGGCTTGCCGACGATCCCATCCATGCGGAGCATCGTACAAGCGGCCTGGGAAGAGAGCAGAGGCCTCTTATGGCTTCCTCACTTTACGTGGTCTGTTGCTGTCGGGAAAAAACACCTACCACTAGCAGCTGTTTTAGCAGGTGCATTTCGAGAGTTATCTGGAAAAAACTGGACCTCTTTCACTGGGAGTCTTACGAGACCACCGCCCGTCGTCGAAAAATCCAAAGGTTGGGCCTAACCGTGGCCCCGAAACAACCCCCAACTCTCTCACGCCCACTCTCCTCCCTTCAAGTGCATCCAAAGTAGCGGGGAGCCGAAGGTGGCAGAATCGGGCGCAAGGGAGGAGGGCTCTGAGCTGCATGTCCGAGACACTGGCAAAAGGCTGCCGAATCAAGCGTGATGTCGGGTAGACATCAAGCTAGCCAGGTTGGTATAGTCCAAAGTGGGCATCGCACCTCCAAAGTTGCAAGTGCCGGTGGAGGAGGTCGGTGCTCCGAGTCGCAACGCCGCGCGGAGGAAGGGCGAGCTGCCCATCTCCACACAATCTAAGACAAGAGGCAGCAAGCCAAACCAAGTCAGGCCAACAGAAGGCATCAACGTGGCCAAGCATGCAGAGTTCCGCAAAAACAACACCGAATCTGAGCTCGAGAAGCTCGGCACTATCAGCACGAGGCCCGGTCTTGCAAGCCCAAAAACAACCACCGCCGCCCCAGTGCAAAGGCGGCTACGCGACGACGGAGTGCTGTCAGTTTGGCTGAAGTCCAAAATGGGAAGAAACAGACCCAGACACGCAAATGACTGCAGAAACAATGACAAGTCTAAATGCAAAGAGTCCAAGGCAAGTGTCAGCATGCCAAAACGAGCCATACCACATGCAAGCGAGCTGAGTCCAAGCTGCGCAAGCGTCTGCAGAGCTGGCGAGGCACCAAACCCAACGAAATCTGGCACAGGCAAAGACAACTCGGGCTTGATACCACCCAGAGTCAAGAGAGCTGCATCAACGCGAGCAAGGCTTCTTGAAAGTAGCAAGGGACCTGGCTGCGAAGCCTTGGACACAAGCGGCACCAGTCCCAAGCGCAGGAAACTCTGCAAGAACAGCAGCAAGCCCAAGTGCAGGAGATCTAGGGCAGACGTTGAGGATTCCGGGCGCGCTGCACTGCATAGCGCTGTGAGCAACTCCATGCGAACAAGTTGTCTCATGAGCAAAAGCAGACCAAAGCAAGAGAAGTCCAAAGCGACTAGCAAAGGTTCAAGACAACACAGGCCAGATGCTGTCGGGGGCGACTCTGCCTGGAGCAAGGACTGAGGGAACGAGGCTGGACCAGTGTGACTGAAGCCTAAGGCCGAGGTCGCGGACGAGAGATGTGCCAAAGTTTGTAGCAGAACAGCAGGGCCTGTCTGCAGAGCATCCGGGGCTGAAGGGAACAAATCGAATCTGACCAAGCCGGCTGGAAGCAAAGGCGGCCCCATCCTGGAAAAACTTCGCGCCAAAACAAAGCTGCCCAACTGAGCTGAATCTAGCAGTGGCAGCTGGCTCTCAAGCCATGCGAGGCTCCTCGATGGAGGTAGAGGCCCGGGATGGAGAAGGTCGAAGACCGGCACAACAAAGCCGACACACGCAACAGACTGCATCGAAAACAGCGGGCCTGAAGTCAGGGAGTCCAGCACAGACAGACAAGATTCGGATCTCGCACAATAAGAAATCGACGGGGGTGATCCTGTGCGGGCAAAGCCTCGAATTGGGAGGCAGCTCCCGGTCTCGAACTGCTGCCCGGCACGCAAGACACCCACCGCCAACAGTGGAGGCCCTGGCCGCCCGCATTGCCTCGCCGGCAACATGCTGCCAGTGGTCGTGGAATCCACCACAAAGGTACACAACTCCAAGCGGAATGCACGAGTGGCAGAGGTTGGGGAATCAGCTCTTGCAAAGGTCCTCGTCAACAGGCTTGCCTCCAACCCCGTGAAATCAGCGGCCGGCGAAAGTGAATCTGCACGCAGGATGCCTGATGCAAGCATGAAGCTGCCAGCTTGTAGGCTTGTCTGCAAAGACGTCGAGGAACCTATGTCAGCAAAATCCGGCGAGGACATGGCAAGATCTGTCTGGGCCCATGATCGGAATGATGTGGACAAGCCAGCACTCACACAGTCCAAAAGCAACAGGGCGAGGTCGAGCTGGGCCATGCGTGCAGCAAGAAAAGAGGACTCGATCCTCACAAATTGACGCGTTGGCACTGGGAGTCCCGCTTCCATGAAATCTGTTGTTGGCATCGGCACTTCAGAGCGGCACCTTCCCCACAGCAGCGGCGAAGTATCAACTCGTGCCATGTTGCGTGCCAACAAGGAGGAGTCTGCTGCTGCATGGTCAAGCAAGAGCAACGTCAGTTCCGAAGTCAGCCCCCCCACAGTAAACAGAAGAAACTCAGCACAAGCGTGTTCTCGTGACAGCATGACGCTACCCGAATGTATGAGCTCCAGCAGAGACAGCGATGCGATCCTGCTGGAGCTTCTCGTCAACGTGGACGAACCCATGCTCATGCTGTCAACAAGAAAGATTGAACGGCCCACACGTGCTTTGCCAACGCACGACGTTCTGAAGTCAGCCTGAAGTGCAGCCCTGGCCAGCACCGAGGGACCAATGTTCGCAAGATCTGCTACCAACAGCAATAGCGCAGGCCTGGCAAAGGCTCTGAGAAACGGCGAGCTGTCAGGGTGCAGCAAGTCTGGCAGAAGCACAACCAAGTCAAACCACGACTTTCCGGACACCAGAAGCACGGGATCTACTCAAGAAAAGGCTTGCAGTGCCACCAATGGCCCAAGCTGAATGCAATCAGCAAGTGGCGGAGTTGGCTCTGAGCATGCAAAGCTGCGAACAGGTGTAGGGAAACCGATCCCAGCAAAATCCAGCAGCGAGATCGATAGACCACATCTCGAAATCCCAAACAGAAGCGCCACCAAGCCTGTTTGACTCCACACGCGAATTGGCAGACAGGAGCCTGCACTGGCAAAAGACAATACGAGCGCCAGGAGGTCTGTGCGGAACAGGCTTCTCAACAGAAGAGTACTGCCCGTGGACGTCCAGCTCAGTAGGACCAGCGAGGCACCTGTCCTGCACTTGCCAGATGCGGGCATTGTAAACGCCAGGCACATTGCATTCTGCAGCAGGGCGGCTAAACCCATTGTCACGAAGTCTAGGAGGCTCAAACCCCGTCCTAAGCACACAGGGCTCCGTGCCGGAGGAGCAGAACCCAAACACATCCCATCCAAAGTCGGAGGCGCAAAGCCGAACATGGTTCTTCCCAGCACTGGCAAGCAGGAGCCGCATCTAGCACCACCTCGCAGTGTCATCGAGCTGCCCAGGTGCAGGAAATCCGAAGCCAGTGCCAGTGGTTCCGTGCAGGACAACCCGAGCAAGAAGGAGGTGGTGCTTGGACGTGAGAATGACCGCACGGGTATTGCTGAATCGGCCTCGCACACCTCCAAGGTCAGCAGCAACAGTTCAGGTCTCGCACAGCCATGTATCACAAAAGCGCTGTCACAGCAAGCGAGCCTCCGCAGCAACGATGGTAAGCCGGTCAACCCGAAGCCCAGCAAAAACAAAGCCGGTTCAAGACACGAGAAAGATCTCAAAGAGAGCGAAGGGCCAGAGGCACTACAGTCAGGTGCAAGCAGTGCACTTCCAAACACCCCTCTGCCAATCAACAGAGCTGTGAGGTCAGCGTGCATGAGATTGCGAGGAGGTGATAGGGACTCCAAGTGCACAAAGTCCAACACAAGGAAAGTCACATCAGGTCGCATGGTGCTTGGAACTGGTGCAAGACTACCCGCTCAAGAAAATCTGCGTGCAAACGCTGGGCTACCAAGAATACCCAAATCAAGCAGAGTGGCAGACATGTTTGGGCAAGCCATCCCGGACACAGGAGCTACAAAGCCTAGATGCGAGAACGCACGTAACAGAAGAGGGACGTCTGGGTTGAAAAGGCCAGACACAAACGACAGCATGTCTGACCAGGCTACACCCAACACGGACAAGGTGAAGTCAATGAGCATAGCGCCTTTGACAAAGACCGTGTCCTGGATTGCTGCGTCACTGCGGATCTCCGCGACACCATAAGTTAGCAGTGGTGCACCCATTCGGACAAAACCATGAATGGGCAAGAGCGGACCCGGGTTGCCAACGCTCGACACTGGTGCAGCCAGCCCAACGCAAGCATGGCTCCTACATGACAACATCGGGCCCAGCACCAGGAAGTCGGGGGCAAACAAAGCGGACTCCTTTCAAACCATGCTAGAAACGGGCGGCAGGAGGTCTGCTCTCGAATGCCTGTGCAGGAGTGACGATGAGCCGAAGTCGACAAACTGCGCAACCGGCAGTCCTGTCCTCCCGGTGCAAGAACAGCCGCAGACAAGCAACGGAAAACCTACACGGGAGCATGACCTCGGGGCCAGCATAGCTCCAAAGCTTGTGACGTCCAAGGCCAGAAGTAAGCTACCAGGGCACGCCAAACCGACCAAAGAGGAGGAGAAGCCAAAACGAGCAAGGTTTTGCACAGTCGCCGAAGAACTCAGTGTCGCAAGGTCAAGCGCCGAAGACACTATCTCAGGCTGAGAAAAGCTTCGAGAAGGAAGAGACAGCTCGACATGTACTGCATCAAGAAGCGGGAACGAGCTACCGGCTTGTGCAAGGCTTCGTACTGACATAAGCAGTTCCATGCTTTGGAAGCCCATCAGCAGGACAGCTGGACCGATTCAAGCAAAACATTGCAGCAGCAAGGTGCTTCCCGCGAAAGATAAGTCAACAATAGATGCGACCAAACCCAAACGGCAAGGGCTCTGCAGCAACAAAGACGCATCAAAGTCCACGAAATCCAACGCGAAAAGCACCACATCTGCTTGAGAAGGGCTCTGAATGAACGTGGCCAGTTCCGGTTCAAGGCTGTCCAAGAGAAGCAGTGACGGACCTGAACACAAGGAGCCACACAATGACATCAAAGAACCAGTGCAGCCACATGACTTCACAGGCAGTGGCAGTTCAGAATCTGCGTGATCCAGAGGAGACAAGATGAAATCCAAACACGCGAAGCTCTGCAGCAGCGATAAACTCCCCAGACCACAGAGTCCAGGTACTACGGACGCCGGGTCTGAGCGCATCGATCCCGATGCCAAAACGACTGACCCAGGGCGGCAATGGCTGCGAAGCATCAAGGAAGGCTCGGCACTTGCGAGGTCCAGAAGAAGCAGCACGATGCCCACTCGGGAATGACTTTGCGGCAACAAGAGTGCATCTGCGAAAGCGACGTCTACGGGAAACATCGGAAGTTCCGGCTTTGCGTTGCCAGCAAGCAAAAGTGACAGACCGAGCCGTCCAGAGTTGCGGATTGCCAGCACCGAGCCGCAGGTTGAAAGCTCCAGTACAGCTACTGGGATGCCCGACCTGGCCACTCCCCAAGTCAGCATCGCAGAGTCCATGCAGCCAGACCCCCGTAACAACAAGGGAAGCCCCGAACAAAGGAGGTCTGAAGCCAGCAGGAGCGCGCCGCAACTTAGACCAAACACGGACAGGAGAGGGCCTGCCCAGGTGAAGCTTTGCAACAGCAATGACGAGCCAGGCAGAGTGTGCTCCACCAACAACAAGGATGCATCGATCCGCGAACGACTCTTCAGGGGCGGTGGTGGTCCTAGCAGACAGGCCCCCAGAGCCGACAGGAATGGTCCAGTGTTGGCGAAACCCATCGCAAGGGGCGACGACTCCATCCATAGCAAACTTTGGACCATCGACAAGGCCTCAGAGCTTCCAGAGTCGAGAGCTGAAGGCGGCAGGCCAACGCAGCCCGCTCCAAAGACCAAAGGGGCCGACGCCACTTGAACTGAACTACGGACAGAAAGAAGCGAGCCATACGAGGCAGAATCCAAAATGGCTGCCAAGGCTTCGGTCCAAGCAAAGCCTGGTGTCGACAGAAAGATGCCCAGGCATGACACGCTGTGTAGCAACGACACAACGCCCGCAGTAGCTGTATCCGGCACGAGCGCTACAGATCCGAGGCGGCCCAAGCCCACGGCCAACAAGGACACCTCCGAGCGCAGCGAATTCCGCGCCGGCAAACTGAGGCCTGACTGACAGGAGCAAAGGGCGGATAAGCTTGCATCGGTCTGCGACGAGCCGAAGGGAACCATCGACAAACCTGTCTGAGCATGTGCTCTGGGAAGAAGCGAAAGGCCTGAGCACACAGGGCTCAGGACGAAAGGGGCTACATCTGATCAGCTAAAGCTCCGTGAAGCCGAAGAAGCGCCAGTAGATGCCATGTCTGAAAGAAGTAGCGGTAGATCCAGGCAAGTCAGTCCTGAAACCAAAGATGCGGGCTCAGCCTGACTGGAGCTGCGAGTGGGTGGAGAAGTTCCAGGGAAGGCAAAGTCGAATACGAGTGACAAGGGACCAGCCCGGACGAAGCTCTGGGCCAGTGCAAAACTTCCGAGAAGTGAAGATTCCAAAGCGAAGGCTGGCACACCCAAGCTTGCCCTTGAAAGCACAGAAGAAGAGAAGCCGAGCCTTGCATGTTGCCGCACTGAAAGTATGACTCCAGGATAAGATAAGCCAAACACAAGCAGCAGGAGGCCTGGATGAGCCAAGCTTCTCGGGAGCAATGCAGTGCCTGTCTCACATGCTCCAAGCGATGTCGTGGGAAAACCCAACCAAGCGCTGCTCATCACCGCCACAGACAACTCAATTCAAGCAAGAGCTTGCGGAAGTATGAGTAGATCGGTATGCAAGGGGTCTGGTGCCAGAGGTGGGAACTCAAAGCGGGACAACCGAAGCACGGCAACCATTGTACCCAGACACGCAATGCTTCTTGTTGGAGGCAGGGGGCCTGGATATGCAGCGTCGGGAGCAGGAAGAGAAAAGCCGATACATGCTCTGCCAGAAAGAAGTACAAAAATGTCGACCTGGAAAGGACTGCGTGTCGACAAGAGCAGTTCCACACATGCAACGTCACAAGCGGGCATGTGAGCACCAGATTGAAAAGGGCGCATGAGAGGAAACACTGCGTCAGGATGAACGACGCCTCGAAGTGACAGAGAGACTCCCATGTGCGAGCAATCCAAAGCAGAAGGTAGCAACCCTGGACAGATGCACCCGAAGGCCAATAGCAGCAGTCCAAGACGGGCCAAACTACGCAACGCAAGAAGCAAGTCCATCTGAGCAATCATCAGAACTGAAGGCACAGACTCCACACGGCTATAGCTGCGAAGTACAAGTGGGAAACCAATCTGCGAGAGCTCAGCAACGGGCAACAAAACCCCCAGGGTTGCTCTGCTCAACGCCGGTGATGATGATCCGAGCCGAGTGGAGCCATGCAATGTTGGCAAGAACTCCATCAGCGCAGAATCCGACATCAGCACGCTCGACCCGAGGCGCAAGATGCTGGAAGCGAGTGTCAGTGAACCAAGCTGGCCCGTGGATCGCACGGACATCGCCAGGCCGAGGTGAGTAGGATCTGGAGCTGACGTAGAGACCTCCAAGCAATTGGCCCCTGACACTGACACCACGAAGCCCATGCACAAAGCTGCTTGTAATGGCAGGAAAGGACCCGATTTGATGGAGCTTGACACAGGAAGGGCGAGGCCACAGCAACTGAAGCCTTGAAGGGCAGGAGAAGAGTCCAAATGAAGAAGATCTAATGCAGACAGCAGCACATCCAATCGGACACTGTCCGAGGCAGTTGCTGAGACATCAAGGTGGGACGGGGATTGCAAAGGCGCAAGACTTCCAGCTCTATAGCCATCTAAAGCCAGCACAGCTGCACCCGAGCAAACAAAGGACCGCGGGGAAGGCGAAAGTCCAAGCGTCACTTCCTCCAGCGCAAAGGGGGATGGCTCAAAAGAAGCCCTTCCTGACAGAGGTGCAGAGAAGCCTGGCCATGCCAAGCACTTCAGGGGCGATGGCGGGCCAACACCAGCAAGACTCGAGACAAGCACAGGGATGCCAGGGTGACCAGAACTTCTGGTGGGCAGAGACACTTCGAGCTGCACAAGGTCAGGCACGGCCGCGCAAAAGCCCGCACAAGCCAAGCCTGCTGCCAATAGGGAGAGCCCGGACCACCCCATGGACTGCAAAACCAAAGCGGGGTCAAGACGTAGACTTTGTAGAGCAGGTGCTGCTGGACCCACATGGCCGGGACTTCGTGGCAGCAGCGCGGATCCTGCTTGCACAAACGCAAGCACAAACAGGCCAGCCTCCATGTGCGAAAAAGATCGAAGAGGCATTGGCGACTCTAAGCATGCAGCACCCGTCAATGGAATGACGGGTTCAGATTGCGCAAGGCTTCTCGGGAACAATACGGGGCCCAACTGCACTGCATCACACACAGGCAAGGCAGAAGCTGAACGCGCAAGTGAACGAAGCATAGGCGGACTCCCAGGACTTGTGAGGTCAGGTGCTGATGATGAAGTTCCTGATCGAACCGCCTCTGGTGGAGGCGTCGATAGTTCTATCTGAGCGAAGCTTCGTGCAAGCAAGACAGAGCCTGGTGCAGCAGAATCCATCGCAGGAACAAAGGAGTCCAGTCGCACCAAGCCAAAAATCAGCAATGCCGCCTCGAGCTGGAAGCCGCTGTGTGTCAGAAGCATCGGGCCCAAGTGTACGTCATGGGGAATGAGCAAGAGCATGCCTGTGCAGGTGCACCCGGAAGCAGCTGTGGCAAAGCCTGTCCTAGCAGAAGCTCTGAGCAAGAGAGGCGTTCCCAAGTGAAGAAAATCTGGTACCGCCGTGAGCGCGTCAAGCCTCGTGTGTCCAGAGATCGGAACTCCTGATCCCGGGCGGGCAAGCTGCCGTATGGATGAGGGACTTCCTGTGCACGATAGATCCACAGGCAAGACTGACAAGTCAGGCTTCGAAAGGCTTTGGAGAGCCGAAGGAATTCCCAGCTGGATACAATCTAGAAGAGACAATGGTAAGCCAGAAGCAGCAGCTCCGAACGATAAAAATGGGAAACCAGTTCGGGCAGGTCTTTGTGAGAACGGCAGGCTGCCAGGAGACATAAAACCAGGAATCGGAGTGATGGACTCTGATCGAACAGCGCTGCGGATGAACAGTGGAGGCTCCATGCTTGCAAGGTCCAGCACCACAAATGAAGCCTCTAAGCAGCAGCCACCAAACAACGCAGGCATGAAGTCCAGCTTTGCAAACCTGTGGACTGGCAAGACCGTGCCCAGAAAGCCAGAATCCAGAATTGGCAGCGGCAGGCCAACACGCAGGCACGACATGAGCAAAAGCAGGGCTTCGAGCCGGGTTGCCGCCCGAGGTGGCACAGCCATATCTGAATGTGCAAAGTCACAGGCAAGCAGCGGGGCCTCGATTCAACCAACCCCAAACAGCAATGTTGGAGGGCCCGGCTGTGAAGAGGACCGTGCAGAAGTTACAGGTCCGACTATCCCGCAATCCGGGAGCGACAGGAAGGAGCCCAGGCAGACGCATCCGGACACTGATGCGGATAGTTCGGCTCGGGAGGGTGCGTGCAGAGACAAAGAAGAGCCGAGGCGCAGAAGATCCAGCGCTGAAGCAAATGCATCAAAACGAAACAAACTCGATGTTGAGGTCGCCACATCAATGCAGGAAAGACTTCTGGCAGGCAAGGATGCTTCCAGTTGTGCAAATTCAACAAGCATCGGGGCGGAACCGGAATGCGCAAGACTGCGAAGCAATGCCAAACTGCCTGCTTGCATGAAGTCCACGGTCAGCACCAATGCATCACAACAACTAGAGCCAAACAACAAGAAAGCCAAGCCGCATCGTACAAAGCTGTGGAAAGGAAGAGATATACCTGAAGCACTGCAGTCTGGTGCCATCATGGCTGCACCCGAATGCGCACTTTGCAAAGTTGCTGTGGAAGCCTCTAGCTTTAAGAGAGCTTGCGACAACGTCATGGACTCTGCATGACTGAGAGCCAGTGATGGGGTCGAAAACCCCATGCATGAGAGACTGCGGGGCAAAATGGCCGATCCAAGAAAAGCAACACCAGGCAACAACGGACTAGATTCCATTCAGGACACGCCACACAAAGGCAGCAATGCATCTGGTTGGCTGGCAGCTCTCACAGGTATTGAAAGCCCAACAGCCACCATGTCATACGGCAGCAGTGGACTCCCCGAGCGGCTCAAACCAAATGAGGAAAATGCCAAGCCGGTTCAAGCAGACGACTGCGGAGATGACAGGGGGCCTGGGTATGCCAATTCCATAGTCGGCATCAGCAGCCCGAAGCGAAACATTTTTCTCGCGAACAAAAACGGACCTAAGATCATATCACCTGACAGTGGCGGAAGCAAGCCAGAGCGAGCTGCCCCCCCTGACGGCAACAAGAGGTCTAGCTTTGCGTGGGATCGCAGGAAGATCGAAGCTCCGAAAAGTGCAGAGTCCAGAAGACTTGCCGCTGGGCCTAGGCATGCTGCTGATCTGGCAGATGCAGTCAAGTCCGAATGTAAGAAATCCAAGACTGATGCTGCAGCTCCACACCGGGCAAAGCTGTGGATAATCAACGATAAGCCCAGCAAGGTGCAATCCGATACGGCCGGGGAGAAACCTAACCGAACAGCACTGAACACCAAAAGTCCAACACCTAGGCAGCTGGGAGATTGCAAGGATGCTGCAAAGCCCGCTGCAACGTTGTCCGAAGTTGCAAGTGTGAAGCCTGCTCTTGTAAGACTGCGGGGTGCCAGCAGAACCTCCAGGCAAGCGAGGTCGAAAAGGGATGGCAAAGACCCGGGCCACACCATGCTTACCAACAAGAAGGCCGGATCAAAGCGTGCAAAGGAGCGTGCTGGCATGCAGCTGCCCGCATGGACCAAGTCGAGCATCAAGGTTGGGGTCTCTGCTCGAGTCCTTCCAAACACCAAAGGCGGCGAATCAGAGCAAGCGCAGTCATGTAGTGCCAGAGAGCTTTCCAGAGCAAGGAAATCCGAAGCCGAGGCGGCAAAGCCTGATTGTGCCGAGCTATGCAGGAGCAACAGCAAGTCCAGCGACAAATGATCCGAAGACAGCAGCAATGCATCGGATCGCGCCAGACCGTGGATTGCGATGGAGGCATCCAAACATTCGAGGTTGTGTGAAGGCGGCAACACACCAGCGGACGAATGATCCAAAGGAAGAACGGCCAACCCCAAGCAGGACAGTCCGGAGGTTGGAATCGAGGCTTCTGTTCGCTGCGCATTGTGGGCCAACACAAACGATTCTGGCAGACCAACATCGAGAGCCAGCAGCAAAAAGCCGGTGCAGGAGGAACTGGGCAAAGATGGCGCGAGCCCCATCTAGGCACAACATCGGAGCGGCAGGGAACTTCCATAGAAACCAGGGTCCATCGCAAAAACTGGAACTCCCAAGCACACGAAGGACTTCGCCAGAAACGGTAAGCCCAGGGATGCCAAACTTAGAGGCAGCAGCGCGCTTCCCGAGCAACAGATGCCACAAACAAACGGGAGGACGTCCAGACGAGCCAAGGATCGCAAAAGCGACGTGGGGCTTATGCCAACAGAGTTTGGGGCTGAAGGAGTTGCTTCAAGCCGAGTCAAAGCACGAAGGAATAAGGAAGAGCCGGGCTGCAGAAGATCTGAGGCTAGAACAACAGCTCCACAGCAAGCAAGCCCGCGTGGCATCGGCAGCAACTCTGCATGGACGAAATCCGGAACTAGTGCGACAGGATCTAAACAGCCCAAGCCCTGAGCAGTTGGCAAGCTACCTCCGATGCAAAGGTCCAGAACTGAGACACTTGAGCCAAGTCAAACAGAAGATCTAAGAAAAGCCAAGCTGCCCACGCTTGCAAAGTCTGAGGCCAGCACCGGCAGTCCGCATCAAGCCAGGCTGCGGAGGGTCGAGGGAGTGCCCAAGTTCACGACATTCAGCACAAGAAGGGCGCTCCCCGAGCAAGTGAAGGAGCGCGCCATCAGCAGCAATCCAAACTGCACAAAGTCTGGTGTCGAGGCTGACATTTCCAAGCGCGCACGGCCAACCACAGTCAGCGCAAAGCCACAACGAGAAGCTGCCTGAAGAGAGGGCAAAGGCCCGAGGTGAAGAAGGTCCGACGCCGTCAAGCTCGGGCCAGATCTTCCCAATGACAAGGCCAAAAGCAACAGACCCAGGCGGGACGGGCCGTGTGATGACAAGAGGCTCTCAGCACAGGCAAATGCTGAGACAAATGTTGGGGTTCCGAGTTGGCAGAGGCTGTGGATTGACAGCAAGGACTCCATGGCAGCAGGCTCCAGAACTGATGCCAGGGATCCCGATTGCAACACACTTGGCAACGAAGCTGAGAACCCAGTCTGGGCAAAGGAATGAGGTAACAGGAGAGCGCCCGAGTGCAAGAAGTCCAAGGCCGGTGCTGCAAGCTCAACTCGAGCAGAGGAACGCACCGGGGGCGATAAACTTACGTGTGCAAACTGAAGGGCCAGCAACAGCACATCTAGTCTTCCAGTGCTCTGGAGCAACGGAGAAAAGCCAGTAGCCGCAAAGAAACACGCAAAAGCTAATAAGCCCAGTTGGCCGGGACTTTGCAAAAACGGGCTGCTTCCGAGATTTGCGAGGTCCATCATGAAAACCAACAAGCCCAAGCAGCCGGGAGCATGAGTCAATGAGGAACTTCCTGAATGCAGAAAGTCCAAGGCCATCATCACCGAACCGAGTCAAGCAAGTGAACGCAGAGGCAGCGCGAACTCAGATCGGGCGCAATCCAGTACAGCGATGCATGGGCCCAAGCAGGCCAAGCCTCTTGTTAGCAACAGTGCCCCAACTGTGCCGAAATCGCAGAGAAGCAAGGAGGTTTCGGGACAAAGCAAACCGGCAGCAGGCAAGCTCAACTCCGACTGAGCACATGATCTTGCCAGGGGCGCGGCGTCTGTCTGGGCTGCATCAAGGGCCGGTGTTGCCAAGCCCGGACGTCCACAACTCATGACTGATGAAACGCTGCCAGCATGCCCCAAGCAACGCATTGAAAGCAGCAGGCCCGCATGACCAAAGGCTGAAGCTAATGCAACCAAGTCCAACCGCACCAAGCTCCTCGGGGGCAACAAGGCTTCAGAGCTTGCTGAATCTGGTGCGGGGACGGGCAATCCCATCTTGCAGAAACCTGCTGCTGGAGATGATAATTCTAACCAAGCACGCGATTGCAACAGCAAGGGTGGACCCAAGTGCAAAGGGTCTGGAACCAACAACAGCGCGCCCAGCCTTTGCACGCCAAACAGAAGCGAGCCGAAATCCAACTGAGCTGGGCCGTGCAAAGGCAAAACACTCCCTGTCGTGGACGTTTCTAGGATGAAAAGGAACGTTCCCAAGCGTGTCACTTTGAACAAGGACAATGTGGCGCCCAACCAGCTGGGGCTCCGCAAGGGCAACGCGGCGCCAAAACCACCCAGATCTGGAACGAAAAACAAGAGATCCAAGCGTGCAGCTCCGAAAACTGACGACGACATACCAAAGCGATGGAAGCTTTTGAGGCTCAAAGTGAACTCCAGGTGAGCAGCATCACACACCGCTGACAGCAAACCCGAACGGCTAAGGCTACGCGAAGACGTTGGTACTTCTGGAATGCCAGAAGAGGGAACCGAAACCAGCGAGTCGGCGCACACGGAGCTGTGCACCAGAAGGGTCAAGCCAAGCAGCGCAGCATCCGAAGTCAAGACTGGCATGTCTGATCTGGCCCGGGAATGCAGAGATGTCAAACTTCCCAGGTGGAGGAGATCCAAAGCCAGCATTGGAGAGTCAAGTTGCGCGATGCTGCAGGGAGACGCCGAGGCACCCGTGCACGAAGAATGTTGCGGGGGAGGCGGCATCTCCAAGTGCGCAAGATCCAGCACAAGCGATGCCAGGTCCAAGCGGCCAGAACTCTGCGGAGGCGAACTCGGTCCCGAGTTTAAAAGGTCCAGCGCTAGTAGTGACAAGCCAGAATGAGCCAAAGATCGGGCTGGCAGCGAAGTTCCCAGCTGAGTAAAATCCAGAGCCGTCAGCAAGGCACCACAAAAACATTGCCCGAGCATGCTCAGTCCGACTTCTAGTTGCGCAAGGCCTCTCACAGGCAAAAGTACGCCGAGCGAAGTGGCATCGAGAACTGAAGGAGAGGGGTCCGGCCGACATGAACCGAAAGCAAGAAGAGCAGATGCTGAGCAAGAGAAGCTGTGTGGGAGCATTGAGCTTCCCAGGCTCATGAACCCCGATGTTGAAGCGGCCGTTCCCAACCTGCCCGCACCACGTGCCGGCAACGCCAGACCCAAATAAACGAAGTCCGAGGCGGGCATTGGGAGCTCCAGGAGTGCGTGGGCAAAGGGCAGCGACAGCAGCTCCAGTCAACTGCGAGCTCGAAGCGGCAGCAAGGGACCAAGACCTGCAGGTGCTGGTACGGGTGGGGCAAACTCAAGCCAGCTCATGCTACGCGAAAGCAACGGGACCTCCAATGTCACAGGGTCAGGCACAGACAACGATGCCTCCATCGATGCTGCAGACAAAGCAGATAAGGCCAAACCTGAACTTGAAGGAGCACGGGTTGGCAGCACAAAGCCCAGAGCCGGAAACCCGCAGACAAAAACAGGAAGGCCTGAGCAAACGAAACTGTGGACAATCAAAGCAAAGCCAATGCTGCCATGCGACGTTGCCAGAGTAAGCAAGCCTAGGCATGCCATTCCGAAGGCGGGCAACACCACGCCCATGCACGCCGGGCTGCGAACGGGCAAAGCTGATTCCACGAGCGCAACGTCAAGCGCAAGCAATACAAACCCGGAGCACGCTTGGCCAAACAGCGGAGTTGTGAAACCAAGTCGCGCTGCGGCTCTTGAAGATGTCAGGCTCCCTGAGCTGGCAAGGCTCATGGCGAGCAAGGCTGAGTCCAAACAGCCATGGCTATGCAGAAGCAACAAACTCCCCAAGTGCAGAAGATCTGATGCAAAAGCCAGCAGCCCAGGACTAGAGGTGGCACAGAGAAGGGGAGGCAGTCCCAGGTAGACATGGCTGTGTGTTGGCAGTGGGGCTTCCGACGGTGCGAAGTCCGGGGCAAAGGGGGGCAGGCCCAAACAACACGTGCCTGCAATCGATGGCAGCGGCCCGAGTCGGCTCAGACTTCTTGGGAGCAGCGGAAATCCCAGGTCAACAGGGTCAAGCGCGAACAAGGGCAAACTGAGACAAGCAATGGAGACAATGAATGTGGACAACCCAAGACATTGATGGCTCCGCATTGAAGGTGGCATCCCTAAATTGGCAACGCTGGAGGCGAGCGGTAGGGTGCCAAGATGGGATGACCCACGCAAAGGCAAGAAGCTGCCAAGATGAATGAACGCAAGGACCAGCACAGAACTCCCAGGTCAGCCAAATGCCCGTGCAAGCAGCAGGGCTCCCGTTAGGGCGAAGCCTGGAGCAGGAAGAAACAAGCCAACCGTCGAAGATCCACAGGCCATTGCAGCCGTGCCAAGACGACTACGCCCGCGCAAGGGAAGGAAGGCTCCTGGCCAAGCAGAATCTGAAACGAGCACAACAAATCCTGCCTGCAGCGGACTCTGAACAGGCAGAGAAGGCCCCAAGGATGCTGGGTCGGGTACAGGTAGCAATGGCTCAAACCAGGAAAGGCCAAACAGCGATATGCTCACAGCAAGTCTCGCGAGCGACTGTGAGAAAAGCAAAGGTCCGACTTTAACAACATCAGGTGCAAACGTGAAAGGCTCGAAGCTGAGTCTGCTGGAAGAGGTTGCAGCTGAGCCCAGCTTGCCGAAACTTTGCAAGGACGGTGAGCTGCCAGGATGCAAGAAGTCCGACACTAAAGGTGGCAGCCCCAAGCGACATGGTCCAGAGATCAACAACAGGAACTCTGGTTGCCCACCTGCGTGCAGTAACAACAGGACACCGAATTGGCTAGAGTCTGGAGCAAAAGTGGATGCCTCCGATCAAGCCAAGCCACATGTCACCAGAGGCACGTCAGACTTAGACAAGCTTTTCGAAGGCAGAAGAAACCCAGAATCTGCTAAATCAAGCGCTGCTAATAGAAAGCCTGGTCTGCACAACCCAACAGCAAGCAACAGAACAGCAATCTGAGCTAGGCTTCGCGAAAGTGGCAAACTTCCAGAGCTTGCAAAATCGAAGGCAAGCAAGCCGAAGCCTAGCCAGGCAAGGCTGCGTAGAGAAGCTGCCGAATCAGAAAACACAGAGGATAATGCCAACATTGACAGGTCCAACCGGCTGCAAGCAAAGGCCAGAATCAGTGGTCCTGCCTGCGAGGGGCTGCGAGGGAACAGTGGGAATCCGAGGCCAGAATTGTCCGGGGTGGAAAGTGGCAGTCCAAGGTGAGCGGAAGAACGTGCAGGCAGAGACACGTCCAGGTGAAGGAAGTCCAAGACAATTGTGCAGCTGCCTGGTAGGGCGGCAGACCTCAGCAACGAAAAGAACCCCAAGTGTGCAGAATCCGACACTGATGCCAACACGTCTGCCTGAAGAAGTGTGTGCAACAGCAAGGAGGCCCCTGGACATGAGCGGTCGAGGACGAGGAGAGAAGCTGCAGGTTGTGCCAAGCCTTGAAGTGCGAGCGGAGTGCCCAAGTTGGTCAGATCTGACACAAAAAGTGGTGAGCCAGAGGAAGCTCTTGCAAATACTGACAAAGCAACACCAAGCTGAAAGGCACTGTGCACAGGTAACGGCATTCCTGGCTCGCTGCGGTCCAGGGCCAGCATCGGCAGACCAAGCCGCTTTTCTCCAAAAACAGCTGGTAAGGACTCCGTGCAGGCAGAGCTCTGCAAGAATGACAGCGTGCCTGAGTGAAGAAAGTCCAAGACAGGCGTGCCCAACCCAAAGCACATCAAGCCTGAAGCAACCGTCATCAGATCTGGTTTGGTGGGGGAATGTACAAAAAGCGTTGGTCCTGGCACCGCAAAGTCAAGAACTGATACCAGGAGATCGAGACAAAGCAATCCAACGAGAAACGATGGGACAGCTGGCCGTGCAGGCGCCCGCAACGCCAAGGAGCTGCCGGAATTTACAGAATCTGGGACAAGCACCAGCAATCCAAACCGTGCCGAGCCCACAAGCAGCGAAAGAAATCCTGCGTGCAGAAAAGACCGCAGCAGCATCAATGCCCCTGAGCCTGCGAGATCCAGGGCAGTTACAAGCAACTCTGGGCAAACAAAACCTCGCAGAACCGAAAGAACACCGGGACATGTGGCGTCCAGAGCCGGCATCGGAAATCCAAACCGGACCAGGCGAAGTGCAGACAGCAAAAAACCCAGGCGAGCAGGTGCTTTTGCAAGCAGAGAAGGCTCAAGGTGCACAAGGTCCAGAACAAATATGATTGAGCCCAAGCGCGACAGGGCCACGACGAATAGTGCCAAACCATGCCTGCAGAGTGCCCGCGGCAACAAGAGCAAGCCAAGATGCAAGAAGTCTGGAGCGAATGGTGGACTTCCAAAACGGGCCATTGCCCAAGGTAGCAAAGAGAAACCCATGCAAGCAACGCTGTGGACCGGCGGCAGAAAACCGGGGCGTGCTACGTCCAAAGCAATCAAAGAAATTCCGGATCTTGAACTGCTCAGCAATGGCAGAGAGGCCGCAAGGTGAGAGCGGCTTCGTGAAAGCGGCGCAGTGTCGAAATGCGCCATATCAGGGACCGGGAAAGAAGAATCAGAGCACGCCAACCCAAAGGTCAATGCCACAGAGCCTCTGCAACTGGAACTCTGCGATGGCGGGGGCACGTCCGAGTAACCAGAGTCTGGAGCTGGCAGGGGCGCACCTAGTCGAGCACCTCGGAACATCGGAAGAAGCAGCTCCAAGCAGCCGAGGTCCCGTGAAAGCAACAAGGCTCCAAGGTGTAGAAAGTCCATGGCCACAAGCACCGCACCAGGCCTGGAGCATCCAAAAGCTAGCATGCTGGAATCAGCTCGCCACAAGCCACGCAAAGATAATGAAAGTTCCACACTGGCAAAGTCAGCAGCCAGTACAGCAAGCCCCGTGCTAACCAAGCTCAAGATTAACAGAAAGCTGCCTAACTGACTCAAGCTGTGTGGAGATGTCGGCGACTCAACAGACCCAAGATCCAGCACAAGCATTGCTGTCCCCAGGCATGCGGGACCCTGCGGCAGCGTGGAAAATCCAAGGACGGCGCGATCAATGACTGGCAGCAGGGAAACTGGCCCAAGTCGGGTCAAACCAGGGACTGTCAACGGCGTTCCTGAATGGCAGCTCGTTCTAAGGGATAAAGAACTAGCACAAAGGCCAGAATCGAAAGCAAACGCTGCCAACTCCAATCAGGCAGGGCTGCGGGGCAGCACTAATAAGCCCGAGAGTGCTAGGTCAGCTGCGGACAAGGAGGACACGAATCCAGCGCAAGCCATTCCGGAAGCAGAAGCTGCAAGGCCCAACCAGACAAGACTTTGCGTGAAGGGCAACGGTCCCATCATGGCAAGATCGAAGGCCAACGAGAGAAGGTCTAAGCGTGCAAGGCTGCGCAACAGCAGACCGGAGCCCACGCCGGCCAAATCCAGCACAGTTGGAAACACATCTGGCCTGTAGCAGCCAAACATTGGGCAAGCAGGGTCTAAGCGCAAGAAACTCTGAATCAACGACACGATGTCGGAAGTAGCAGAGTCCGAGGCTACCGAAGACAGTTCAGAACTTGCGGCACCAAGCACAAAAATCACAAAGCCAGTGCACATGCAACGGCGCGGTGGCATCGTCAAGTCCGGATTCGCAAAGTCTGAAACAGAAGGCAGCGCTCCGAGCCTCGAGAAGCTTTGCAACATCGTTGGAATGTCAACACAAGACTCTTCCGGCACCGGTAACAAGAAAACAAATCCAGCTCTTGCTACGCCAAATAGGACAGGTGTGCTGCCCGATCAAGCGAGGCTCCGCAATGCTAGTAGCAGGTCCGGGTGTCCGTAGTCGAGTACTGACAAAGACAAGCCTGGCTGGGACATACTACGGAGCAACAACATAGATCCTGATAGCAAGCTTTCTATCACCAACGGTAAGAAGCACGATCCTGACCGACCCAAGCCTGATGCTGCAACAAGCAGGCCTAAACAAGAGGGTCTGTGCAGAGACGACAAGCTGTCCAAATAGACCAAATCCAAGACTACTGACAGCAGCCCGAAGCAAGAGCAGCTTTGAAGCAAGAAGGGGCTTCCCATGTGTGAGATGTCAGGTGCGAAAGCAGCAAGATCTGAGCATGCAAAAGATTGCGGTGGCAGGGTGCTCCCCAACTCAGTCATGTCTGGCACAAGCATTGGCAAGTCCAGCCAATGCATCCCATAGGCCAAAGACAAGACTTCAAATCGCACGGGGGTCCTCAACAGGGACGGTGGTCCGACAGTTGCAAGGGACAGCGCCGGAACTGAGGGTTCAAGCCATGCGAGCCCATGCAGCGCCAGGAGAACATCGGGATAAGCAGAATCCAAAACGGAGAGCAACACTTCCGATCAAGACACGCCCATCGTCAGAGAAGCACTCTCTAGGTGGGCGAAGCTGCGCAACACCGAGAACACACCTGAACTCACGGAATGAAGAGCCGATGGCACGGGCCCAGGATGCATGTAGCTGCGAAGCGACAATGAGATCTCAAGATGCAGGGAATCCGATGCAAACAAACATGAGCCGGAACGAGAGGCTCCTGGAACAGCAGGAGCTGACTCCGGTTAGGAGAAGCCTTGCAACAAGGGCAACGCGCCTAGTTGCGAGAATGCGATTGCAAGGGGCAAGAGACCTGGACGTGTGTGCGACCGAGCTGTCACGGAGGTACCTAGATTGGCAAAGTCAAGAGCTAGCATTGCAACTTCCATTAGGAGCCTCGAAAAAGCTGGCAGCAGCAAACCCGTGCACGCGGCACCACGCAACGTAAGTGGAGCATCTAAAGTAGCAAAATTGTAGGCGGACGAAGCTGAAGACAGCCAAGCGAAACTTTTCGATGATGGCACGCTGCCAAGATCGACGAAATCTGGAACAGGAAATATCAGCCCAAGGCTGACACAGCCACAAGTTGGGAACGCAGAGCCCAAGCAAGCATACTGTCGAAGGAACAAAGGCATTCCAACATGCAAAAAACTTGACACAAAAGGGCTGGAGCCAAAGCACCCAAGGCTTCGGAGTGGCAGTGCACTGCCCGTTTCCGCGCGGTCTGGCGCTGAAAGGAATGAATCCGGCCAACTGGCTCCAACCACTGGTATGGTCGTACCTGGACAGAAGGAGGATTGAAGTGTCAAGGATACGTCCACTGTAGCCCAGTTGCAGATTGAAGTCACAGATCCCATCCTCACGAACCCTCGCACAGGCGGGGCTACGTCTAGAAGAATGAAGTCTAAGACTGGGAGGCTGGTGCCCAAACAAGTCACGCCAAAGAGCAACACCATGAAACCCGAGCAAGATACGCTACGCAGTGTCGGGGCCGATGCCAGATTACAGCAACCCAAGGCGAACGCTGCAGAGCCTGACTGGCCGAGGCTCTGCACAAGCAAGAGTGGGCCTGACTTCAAGGGATCCGGCACTGCTACTGGCATTCCAAGCCATGCTCTGCCAATGGCAGGAAGGAACGCCCCCAGGCTAGAGCGACTCTGCAAGGGCAGTGTAGATCCAGCTTCGATGGCATCTGTTGCCATCAGAACAAAGCCTGAGCTCACCTTGCCAAAGACTGGTAGAATGGGGCCATACTGCGCAAAGCTTCTGGTAGGGACTGAGCTTCCGAAGTTGAAGTGAGCATTTGAGAAAATCAGCTGGCCGCTGGTCACATATGTAGAAATTTGTAGGTGGTGGTCGCTTGTTGTGGCGAAAGTCCACTTTGGGCTGCCGCGGAAGCTGAAAATCAGGGAAGGCCGCACATAATTCCCGTTTGCAGGAGCAGGGTTTAGCTCCAGCGGCGCGGTGAGCATGAAATTGCCGTCTTTCCTTAGCTCCATATAAACATCTTGTGTCATTTCCCAAGCCTTTTTTTCAAGCCTTTTCAACCACATATTCCACAATCATCAACATTTGGAGCAAGAAGTCGGCGTTTGCCTTCTGCGCAGACACACATCCCCCAGCTATGCCCGATTGAGTGTTGAATGCAGACCACCACAGCAGCACACGTGCAGCTGAGCTGACATCACGCCATGTTCACACATTGTGGTCTCAACGACATGCTCGGCTTGGTAGCAGGGTACAGAAAGACATATACTAAAATTGTCAGCCGACTTCCTGCGCAAATCAGTAACTGCTTCAATGGCCGGGGGCTCACAATGTTGGTGTTCCCTGACAAGGGGCTACGCCACTTGATGTTGCATGAGGCTGCTGATGCCTGACCTGCCCTGTCCACATTAAAGCGTTTTGCCTTTACCGCTGCCCATGAAGTGACATTCGTCTACAGTTTGCTCTTCAGATCTCTTCAGAATTGCATCATTATGTCCAAGAATTCGCTAAGAACCCGCAAACATTTTGAACCATGCATGTTCTGCAGCTGGAGCTCTTCATCATCAACCAAGCCGTCGGCTGGCCGCAGAGCAAACCTCTACTTACGAACTTGAAATCTCGACAAAACGCTAGCACATACTTTGCCATGCCACATTGGGTAGCCGCCGCACCACTACGTTATGCCAGTCAGGGAGCACAAAACCAATAAAAGGAAGTGGACGGACATCACTGTTGACCTGTCACCCGCGGGGGCTAACACCCTACAGGCCAATGGATCGCAAACGAATCTGAAAGTTGACATCCATATGATGGAACTGAGTTGCTGCGACGTCGCCGCCACTCATGCCTTCTCAAACCTGCAGCTGGCAGAACGAGCAATGTAATGTTGCTGCTGTGCGAGGTCACTGTCTTAGCACCAGGCTCCTCTGCTTGGCGCCTCGTCTTCAAAACACTTTCGTTGTTGGGTCTTTTGACGTTCTGGTGGCTGCGACCCTTGAGCTCCCCACCATGCGGATGGGCATCATCTCTGTCCCGAGCATGGCATCAGGACAGTGCCCTTTTGGCAACCAAGGTTGCCTTGAACCACAGCATCGTGGCCGGAACAAAAATTCCAAACAACATGCCTCATGTATCTTCGTGTTCATTTTGTACAATATTTCAAACGGTGCATTCTCAAGCAAAACACCAAACACTTGTGTTTTTTGTTGTTTATCGATTTTGCTTTCGCTTTGAACTCTGCACCGGGACCGCCCTTGACATGCGGAAATACGCGTGAAGGGAAAAGGGACCCTTTGCTCATTGCTGGAATGAGGTTGGCTAGGCATCCAGGATGCAAAGTCTTCAGCTGAGCCAGAGGCTGAAGGGAATCGACAGAAGGACAGCCATGGTATCCTCAGTGAGGAGATGCGGCTGAGGTCTTGAGCGACCTTGCGGTGCGGAGGGTGGCCCCGCTGCTGGCGACGTGGCTGGGCAGCGGCGTCCAAGGGCGAGACGAGGATGGTGTCGACGGCGAACAGGACACCGCCCGACACAGACAATTTGGCGCGAGAGCACCGGGACAGTGCTGCCCCCATCGGACGAGGCCTCGCGGCCTTGCCACGAGGAGGCAGGTGCGCGCGTGGGGTTGTCATCCTTGTCAGTTATGAACATCGGTGCTTGTCGCATCGGCTTTGCAAGGGTCATACACTGCGGACACGTCAACCGTCAAAACCATGAGGTGCGGGTCGCAAAAACAATGCTGGATGCGGCGGATGGTTTCGGCTTTCGCTGCCATCGTTGGTGGACTATACCCTGCCTTGGCACACACGCTGCCTTATGTGATCACGCCGCTTGTTGCCAGCACGCTGCCAAAGCAATTTGCTGCGGGTTTCTAGGCCACATGCCACCCACACCAGTATCCTGTGTTTCCACTTGTGCTGATCTGTGTTTCCACTTGTGCTGCTGGCGAGGCGGCCCACGCTCTGCAAGCATGCATGCCCCAGGAGCGGTGGCCAGGCGGGCCTGCAACCAGTCAACATAGTGGGCCGCTGCGACGGCCAGGAGCACGGACAACCGCGAGACATACGCAGGTATGGCACTGGCACGCAGCAAGTGTGGGGCGAAGCGAGCACGGCAGTGGGCGAATGGTCGGCGTCCAGTCCCACGCCCGCTGGCGGCGCTCGGCGACAGCCTTTGCGGCGACATGCTGTGGGCGCCCAATTTTTTGTTTCCTCGCATCCCTTTCCATGCAGCTCAGTGATGCATGCACCTCCACACACCAGCTACACAAAGCCTGCTGGGCTCCACCAAACCAGCCACGACGCATCTGCGACGCATCCGCGTTTTTTTTCCAACACTTTTGTCCGCCTGCACGGGTCAGGCGTCCGGAGGTATGCGTCTCACCCGTATTTCGGCCGGGGGCTAAATGGCTACACGCTGCGCAGTGGCAGCCGGCTCGGCTCCGCAGTCGCAGCGAGGTCGAGGACGTGGTCGAGGTATGGGACCTGGGCCTGGCTCGCATGGGGCTGTGCGGGCCAAGCCGACCTCAACGCCACGCCGTGAACTCCCCAGCGCCGCGCAAGCCGGGGCGGAGCGCACTGGGCACGGACCCGGCAGGAGCTGTTGCGGGCCGTCAGCTTCAACTCTGGGTACACGACGTGTTTGCGCCGCTCGGAAACCCGCAAGGAAGCTCCGTCATGCGTCGCTGCAGCAGGGCTGGGGAAGGCCAGCGGCGAAACGAGCGTTGCATCACAAAGGGCTCCGCCACGCGGCTTCGCACTGTAGATAACGAGATCCAAGTGGCGGCGAGCGTCATTGGCGCGCACCCATGCCCGAGGATTTTCGCTCATGCGGGCCAGCAGACCGGTGCGCGGACACGCCAGAACGTGATCGCCGTGCCCGTCGTCGCTGCGCAGCCGGGCGGGCCACAACGGCTTTGGCGGAGTGGTAAGGGAAGACGCAAGATGGCGGGACGGGGCCAACTGCATGTCGTGGGACGGTAATAGCCTGGTATGGCGGTGAGCCAGGCTCCTAGCGGCCAACATCATGGAAGGCAGCAAAATGTGTTCGCGAATGTAATGGTTGCGAATGCACGATGCACAATTTTTTTGGGCAGGCATCGTCCACCTTCCCAAAACGGCGCTGCAGACGGCACGTTGCACGGCCACTGCGAGGACGCCCCACCACCGGCTCGCCCAGCCTTGCGCGGCGGCTCCGCGGACTGCGGGTGGCGCACGCAGTCGGACGCACCGTCGCAGGAGGGACTCGCAATCCGCGCTCCACCTCCCTCCGACGTCAGCGAGGACGCACAAACGCTGGGCCCCTCCGCGGTTGAGCTTGCGGTAGCGGGCTTGTTTGCAGCGACGCCATCGCGCTCCGCTTCGCTTTCGCTATCGCTTTCGCCCGTTCGGGTCCACGTGAAACATTACAAGCGTCAGACAGTTCCTGCTGCTAGTGGACCCGGTCTATACATCCGCAGTTTTGCAGCCTGTAATTTTCCAGCGGTGAATACGTGGACTGATAGTGCTGAAATGTGCTGACACAGCAAATTGGCCGCCCGCTGCAAGCCAGTACGTATAAAGCTTTGCGAATGAATAGACCGAGTCGTGCCAACACTCAAGCACGCCCCCATTCCCCATGTCCTTATAGGACCGTGGTCCACTAGCATCGCGCTCCGGCGACTAGCATCGAACTCCGGCGCCCCCCTAATCGGGCTGGTGTTGGCGAGCCGCTGTTGGGGTCCCGCGCTACCTGGACCCACGCCCGCTCGAGCACAAAGCCTCGGCGAGCAAGCAGGCTAGTGCGCGGGCAGGCCGTGAAGTGGTAGCCCAGCTTGTCAGCTCGGGCGCGGCATCCGTGCATTCCTTCTCCACCGCAGGCACGCGTGATGGGGAAAGGAACGCGAAAAGGTCGGGCGATGCTCCGCGCACTTGCCCGACAGCCCCGCAACACCACCTCTCCGTGCTTCTCGCAACGCTGCTGCCACGGTAGCTGGTCCAAGTTGGATGGGCTGGGTGGCTCCTGCGTCGCCGGCCGGTGAGGAGCTGGCGTGCTGTAGAAAGCTCACCATAAGCTCACCCATCCTTATTTTCGGCCCCGCTTGCGTTCGGCGAGGGCTTCATCATCTAGGACCTCGCTGCGCGTGGTTGTGGCAGAAAGGCGCGCCGAGGCCAGCAACGACACCCATTCTCGCTGGAACGCCGCAGTGCGAGACAACAGTTCGTCTCGCCCAGGCGCGTGAGGTGCGGGGCAAGGAGGAAGTGTTCCATGCACGGACGTGTGGGCAGCATCTCTCACGGTGGGCCCACAGCTGGGGTCGCGTATGCGGCTCAGCGCAGTAACCAACGCCGGCCGATCGCATGAACGGTGGCACATCTTGCAGTGTAGGCACCGGGCATCGCAGCTCCACGGTCACGTCGACGGCGTCAAGGGCCGTCCACGCCACTTGAAGCGGTCCGTGTGCTGGGCGCGGCGCGCGTTGTCCGCGATGGCTCGCGCTGCGGCGGCGCGACGAGCGCCTGCATACGATTCGAGCAAAGCTGACCGTGCCACCGCTGTTCGGTTGAACCAAATGTCCCTTCACGAACTCCGATCCTCCAGCTGCGCACGTCGCGCCCAGGAGCAATCGCTGTCGGCCCTCCAGCTGCACCCGCGGTGCCCAGGAGTCGCAACTACACCGACAGTCCAATCGTGATCTTTTGAGCCAAAATGATTGCGGCAACAAATTCCACATTTCTTGAAGCCCGAAAGATCCTCAGCTACTGTGGGCCTCATTTCTACAACTCCAAATTATCAGCCACAACAGGTGACTCATTTGAGACGTCGTCTTATGGCAAACGTTTAGGCGCCTAGACCAGACACTTGGGAGTCGGAAACCCCAAGTTTGAGACTGCAAGGCCTGCACTGAGAGACTCGTGCCGTACACTAGAAAAAATTCGAAATCCTCAACTGGGTCCAACAATACAAACAACACCCGAAACATGATGTATGCGAAAGTGCTGCACACGCCAAGGCCAACATGGTGCTACTTTCGAAGCGAAATCGGCCGCGAAACCTCGCGAACGCAAAGGCATCCACACGTGGACATGCATTGCACCACGGGCACGGCATGGAAATGATGCACAAGCGACGTGCACCCTTGATGCACGCTTTGACGCCTAGCAAAGGGCTGCCCAGGTGCGCGTGCCGACAAGTCCAGGCAAGACTCAAACATGCAAATGCAGGTGAAACGCATCTTTGGAAGGCGGTCTGATCCCTTCCTGTTACGAAAGCATTGGCGACATTTTTCCCGTCTGCTTGGTGACCTAACTTGGAGAGGAAGTGGTCCGTGTGTTTTTTACGGCTTTCCCGCAGGCTGCCACAGCAAGTCATCCACATGTGTGGCTAAAACACAATCCGCACCGGTCGCCCATCATACGGCAGCTTGCTGGGCGCCATGTCAGCCGCAAACTGGAGGACCTCCGCGACAAGCGGGTAAATTAACTCAGAACTTCGCGTGTGGAGTCACATCTCCCGAGCGACACACGGCTGCGAGCGAAGTCATATTCACCCCGCGAAAAGTGGCATCACAAAAGACATATGTTAAAACCTTTTCCCCAACGTGCACGCGCCGCACGCGCATGTTCTCGACACACATGCAAAACATGCCCGTGTCACCGCACGCACTGACGTGACGTCATGCTCAATCGCACCTTGACACCATGTAACGTTGCGTCTTTTGCCTGCTCCTCCAAGAGGCCGCCAACGGGCAGGACTTACTTACTCACCGCAAGCCTGGGAGGGGAACACATTTTTGTCAGCGTGCGCTTGGGGGCACAAGTCGGCTCTGAGCAGCAGCAGTAACCGTCCAGCCGTCAAATTTTTGTTACCGTGGAACAAGGATTTGGCGAATCCCCAAGTGCACACGCGCCTCGGATACGACGTTACACGAATAAATGCGATTTAGGCTACCCGCTCGTAGATAAAGCGGGAACATCGCTTTCTGTTTCGGGCAGCGGCAGCATCGTCCACACTCCAAGCCAGCGCCATGCCCATCTTTGGGAAGGCGCTCCACGCAGCGTGGCTGGGCGCAGTGTGATGAGGCGACTCGCTGTTCCGGCGCCCCCCATTACAGCGGCACAAGCGATGCGGGTCGCGTCGGACGGGCGACACTACGGTTGCATCGCGCACAAAGCCTCGCCACGTGCGGAAGCGCCATATATGACGAAGTCGAGGGCGATCGTTGGCCGCTACCCCGGGCGCTGTTGTATTGGTAAACGGCAAAAGTAAACGCATTCGGCGCCGGAGCGTGCCGTCTATCAGGTCTGGTGCACATGTGCACGTGTCGTTGCGGGGTCAGCCGGGATGGCTCAACTGACTCTTGCTCGGGCAACATCGCAAAAAACCTTTAGCGCAAAGAAAAATTGCAACCTTTGTGAAATGTTTGAGGAGTTGACGGGCCGATGGGAGAAAAACATTTTCATGGGTTTGAGGCTGGACATGGCTGGACAAGCCGCCTTGCTGCGTTGCTTGAAGCCCGCCGCTCAGAGGCAGTTGGCCTGCGCATGGCCTGCGCCAAGTGACAGCATTGACAGCTTTGAAGTTCCCTCGAAGTTCCCTCTCTCTGGCCGTTCAGAAGGTACTTGCGTGAGCCATTGCTGGCAAAGCGGGCCGGACAGAGTCCCCTCAGACTTAGGAAGGAGGTTCCGCGCAGAGCAACACTTGTGCTCTACTTTCCTGTTGCTGAAGCTGTGTTTGAGAACGGCCGAAACTGTTGGCCTCAAAAAGGGCCTTTTTGTTCCCTTGTTCAAGGGACGTAACGACGTAGATCCCACCTCAATTGTGAATCTCATCAGGCAACCCATTCCTTTAAGGCCTTGCATCAGGCTTGCCCGGTACTTGCCGAACATCTCCAAAGAGTTTCGGAGCAACGCCATCTGAGGAAAAAAACCACTTTCCACCATCTTTGGCATTCATGCTATCAGAAGCTTCGTTCGTTGTAGGGTCGCAGCTGTCAAGCGCGATGCTGTACTGTTTGCGGCCATTGCTTCGGCTTACTTTTCGACATTGCGGGAGTTGGCATCGCAGCACCCATGCACCGAAACCCCCCGGTCGCTGACGAAGGTTGTTTGAGGGCTGGGAATCCTTCTTTGGGTTTTGCAGGAGTTGAGGGGCATGTCCGTTGACCCGGCCCCTGGCACAAGATGCCGCAAGTAGCTGGATGCAAGCTGTACCTGCTGAGCTTCTCTTGAAGACGATGA